TTGTACCTATATTTGCCTATGTTAAGATATTTGTGGGAAATTTAATTTGTGTGTGCATGTTAAAATTTGCATCATCAGACACCAGTCTGGATTTGCCAGTCAACTGTACAGGTAGTAGCATAGTTGCAATGAATATTAGTTGTAACAGTAATAATTAATGCAATAAAGCCATTCATCTTCTCAGCAGATCATGCTGTGTACTGTAATTTGTCAGTTTTGTCATTTCTCACCATATTTAGGGCCTGGTAAGCCTCCACAGCATGAATCCAAGCCAAAACAGGAGCTTTGTTGTCTGAGGCCCCTCTTCCATACAGGTTACCTACAACCAGCAGAAACAGGTCAAGATAAATGATAATGATTTATGCAACCTTTTTTTAGATACACAGTCACTCAACAATTTGGTGCTGCACTTTTTTGCTCATTAATTTAGTGGATTGCTATACTAACAAAAAAGAAAGTAAGTAACGTGTATTTGCCCAAGGACAACAACAGAGGCCTATAGCAGAAGAGAATGAACCAGCAAATTTAATGTTTGAGTCTAATAAAACTAAGTCACTGCTTTTATGGCCAAATAAATTTAGGTTTTGAAAATGTTTTCCAAACTTATCACATTATAGGAATATTTTAGGTTCCAAATGGCAGCCATTTTCGCCATATTTGCTTTTCCGGCGCTATAATGTCATATTGGATAATGTCATAGAGAGCTTTAGCATTAAAAGTGGTCTTGAGCTTAAGGCATATTTTAGTGGCAGTATCTCAAAAGAGACTCATACTTTTATACATGACATTTTCAAATGTGAAATGTGATATAAAATATGACAACCATTATGGCTGCCATAAATCAAATAGTGATGGAATCTCTATTGAGTGAGGGAGCAGGAGAAGACATGAAAATGGGGCTATTTTAGATTCATCACCATTTTAACATCTTCCCTCTATGTTACTCAAACATGTAGCAATGGACAGAGTAGTATTATAATTTTCTCAGTCAATTGCAATTTGTTGATATTACTAGACAATTACCATACATTTCTGGTACAGTGTGTTGATCTATTTGTTTTCCTCTGTTTGTAACTACATCCCTTTTTACACCAAGTGCAACCAAAAAAATACTTGTCTTTCCAAGTACCACTAAATCTAAACCAAGTAGGACTATTCCAGGTCTTATCAAGGACTATACCACTTCTAAAAGTAAACTACATCATTTCCAAACACTGAACTAGATCATTTAGTAACTGTGTTGTTTTGTTCTTAAAAGTCCTATATTACACAAAATTTAAGCCATGTTAGAATGTTATTACCTCTGCAAAAAGGTATGTTTTGAGGAGAAAACAACACTGTAAGATAGATCAGATGATAATAATAATAGAGGGCCCTTTAATATTACAGAGTGAAATGATAGTTGTAGAGTTACCATCGATCTCAGTGAGGTTGTAGGGTTCAGTTCTCCAGCCGTCCTCGAGCTTGGCTGGTTGGACATCCACATGTCCATAGACGCAGACTGTGTGTTTCTGAGAGTCATTCCCAAAATGAGCTGTCACCACTTTGGGCAGAGCCAGAGTCCGACCACCAGAGATCTGCGGTAAACAAGAGGTCTTTCAGTTTAGACATCTGATTAATATTAAAAGCATTTCTTAGTCATTGCAGTAGTGTGTATGATAAGAGAAACTACCACAGATCTTATGTTATTTTGAAAAAGAACAAAAAATAAATGAAGAAATTGAGCCCTTATAACAAAGTTAATTTAGAATTTTAAAGAAACAAAGGTATAAATTAAAATTATAGATAAACTTTTTTTCCCCATGGTTGATACCAATATTTTAGAATTCAGAGTAGCCAACAGCGAATAACCTTTGCTGATAATTGGTGCCCAAACATGGGGAAAATTTTGATAATTTACCCCAATAGGTATGATTTGAAATGAGCACAAACTTGATTACTGTCTATAATTTGCACTACTCTGCAAAATGAAAGTGTAATAAGGAAAAAAAATGTCTACAACTAAAATTTACTACTAACTGATAAGGGAGCAGTGTAATCACATATATATATATATATACTATATATATATATATATATATATATATATATATATATATATATATATATATATATATATATATATATAGCAACTCTTGGGAAGTGAAATCTGTGTTTGGCAGGAGGAAAACATCATCACACACAAAACTACCTTAACTCTGACATTATGAGGTCAGAAATGGCTGTTTTTACTTTTCCCTCTTCAGGATATATGTGTTTGTATTGTATCCACTAATTACCGATGTGAAACTGCAGAGGGCGCCTTGTTCTTTGACCCCAAAAACACACATGTCTAATGATTTTGGAAATGCCTTTGATGTGGGTCTATAATGAGCAGCCTGCTTTAATCTGTATGCCTGTGCCATCTTTTTGAAGTTGCCACCGCTGTCCTCCCTGTGTATGCTTTACCTTAGCCTACAGTAAGTAAAGAAGAATTTATGTTCCAATTACACCCATGGGTAAAAATACTGACTTCTTGTTCTCCAATGTCCACCATCACTACATTGCCTCCCATGTTCCTGAGTTTTTCGGCAGTTACATCCATCATACGGTGGAGATCAGGCCTTTTTAGGATGTTACTGGAGTCACTCTCAATAGCTACCCAGTCCCGTAGAGCCTGGAAAACAAATACACACATTCCAATATAAATCAGACAGTTTTAACCAATATGGCTGAAGTTAAGTTCATTCAGGACTTGTCTGGAATACACTTTGTTGTAGCTCCACTGCTGCTGCATTTGATTTGAGAATCTCAAGCGTCGAAAAAGTGGAGAAGAGATCAACATTGCCCTCATGTGGTATATTTTGATAAGGCTTGATGACATCTGTAGTATGAAGATAGTACTCTTTTTCTAGGTGTATGCATAATAAGACAGTCCATATATTTAAACAACAATAACTGTGATCAGACAATTGGCTGAAGTTGTCTTTGTTTCCACATTAGTTATGCACTTTCCTTTTTTTTCTAATCACTACTAATACTTACCTAACAGTTATCTTATACTTTGTAATGCTTGTTCATACTTCATACTGCAACATAAATTGAGTTGTCTTTTGATTTATTCACACATGTTTAACACACAAACCTTGCATATTTAGAATGAGTTCTTCTCTGAAAGAGAAAACACTGTTTTTAAACTCCATATACCTTCAACAGAGTCATGTGGATAATTTCAGCCTTGAAATTGCCAATCTCTATAGAACTAAAGGTAAGATGTAGTTGTTAACTTGAAAAGTAGAGCTTCATGACATCACAATACGGAACAGAGTATTCTGAGCTTTGGAGATGCAGACAGAATAATAATTAAGAGTTACTCAAGCATCTATGAATGAAACAAAACAACTCTAGGAGATAACAACATTCTAACATGGCTTAAAGCTCACAAAAGCAAATTTTGTGTAATATAGGATCTTTAATATTATTATGGATCTTTAATATACTATGCAAAAATGGTGACGGTAACTAATTCACCTGGTATATGGAATTTTAAGCCCCTTTCCAAGTAATCCCTATAGTCACTTATTTACACTGATACAAATTTGTGCATTAGCAGCAGGCAACTGAAATTCTTGGGAACAATATTATATGAGAACACAGAAATCGACATATAAACCCTACAGTTTCAAACCTCATTTAAGGGCATCTGATAGCTTTGTGTTACCTTGACATATTCTTCCTGATGGCTGTCTATGTACTGCGCCAGTTCTGAATACTGGAACGCATCAACACAGGAGAGGACCACCAAGAGGGACGCCACACAGAGGAGAGCCATCTGGAGACAAAGAAGTTACAGTCATACAGAGAGTAACAAAACAGGGATTTGATTAGTTTCAACAACTGTAAAGGAGTTGGCAAGTACAACAAAAGATCCAGAAGAAGAGATTCCTATTCAGATTAATCACATAATTGGACAATAATATGCTTTTCCTCAATATCACTAAATAATAACCTAATAGAATAGTTGCTTCATAGAAATGTGAAGTAATGATTGCATTAATGATTAGCTGATAAAAAAAATTTAAAATAATAAAATAAACAAATAGAACAGTATAAATAATGTAATGAAATATTTCACCTTTAGTTGTCTCTTGATGTGACAGTTTCCACAGTCGGGGAAACTGTGTTCCTCTTTTGATCCTCGGAGCCTTATAAGCTCCTCTACCTCCCCTCTTGTACGGGTCACTTGGTCACAAATTCCTGGGCCAACGCCAAAAGGACTGACCATTAAAGTTTACTGAACTTAGGGTAAATAAAAAGAGTGCAAAGTGCTCTGACGAAATACCCCAAATCTACATCTGGACTCTAACCCAAAAAAGCCAATAGTATACGGTAAGCTAGTTGTGTAATACTGTAGGCTCTAAGACAGAGCCCCTGTTGTGAAGAACATAATTGTTCTCATAGTATTTTCATTTGGTCCAAAGCCACATGAACTTTTACACTCATGCAGGGGTTGTTTAATCCGATCACCACTTCAAGGTCATTTCATTAACAGTTCTTTTACAAAACTGTCTCGCTATGATAGATAGAGAAAAATACTTATTTTAATATGTTTGTATGTAGCCTTCTAATAAACAAACTACTGTAATCACAATAAAATGTAAAAATTCAACTGCAATGTAGGAAGCCCTTACTGTGCGTAGATATTTAATTAACAAAACTTATATGGTGTGTAGAATCCCTCAATCGTCCAGGTAGAATCCATAGCAAAAGTTATATAGATTGATTTCATTTCCATGCTTTCATCCCGGTCGTTAGGGGGCAGTGTCGCCAAAAAGTAATTACTGAACATTCACAAAAATAATTTTTATATAATTTTACAGCGTTTAAATTTACTTCTTGCGTATTGAAGTCATTTTTAATCATACCAATGACAATAATAACACATTGCTGCTTCAAATTGAATCTCGAAGAACGCTATGTCTTTAGGCGGGAGGTCAAAGGTTACAAAACAAAATGGCGAGTCCCCTTGTTGCTGCAGTCACATCGCTCGGAGCAGCCCGAGAGGAGGTTTTCTCCTATGTTTAGATGTTCTCCTGTTATAGACGTGTGATCTTTTGGGATACATTTTCTACATAATAGTTTGCGGCCTCATTGGTCTTCACGTTAATATTCGTGCGTTAGCAGTGGAAAGCATTGAATGAATGTCGCTGAATAAGATGCTTTGACAACAACTCATTCTTGCTTCATTTCCTAGTTTTAAACTTCTTTACCCAACATTTGTTTACTTGGTAGTGTTTGCATTTTGATTTTTCTGCAACTTTAATAAAGATAGTTGTTTCATTTTACTGGAGTGAGCAAGCGAGTATCCTGTAGCGTTTTGGAGAAGAAGTCTACGGAGCTGTGTTATGGCTTTGTGAAACTTCAATCAAAACACCGGTGAAGATGAACAGGAAAAAGGATAAAGGATTTGAGAGCCCCCGTCCCTTTAAATTATAAGTATTTTTATCTCTTCATGTCCAATGATTAACATGTTAGGCTATATGTTCTTATAACGCAGCTGATTAACCAATAATAACAAACCGCTACTTACTGTGGTATAGCCCTAACAATTAGTATTACCACTGCAAATGTATGAACGAATGAAATCTTGCATAAAATGATTAGAATAACTCTTAGAAAAGACTCAAGATAATTTTGATAAACCATAATTTGATTACTTGTAATACATTTTATGGCTCGGATTTTCAAATTAGTGACATATCTTTTGTATTACTTTATACGACTCATCAGACGGTGTGCATCAACAACATCAACTTCCAGAGGAAATCTGTCATTGTGAGTACAACGTAGTGCTTTTATTTTTATTATAATGTCATTGCCACTGGCCCATCTTATGCCAAGTAAACAGTATAAATAATAAAAATGTGCATCACTATTGGAGCCCTTATATCCCCACACAGACTATTGTTGCAGTTGTTTAATGTAGTGGAATGATCCCCCATTATAATTTTTATTACATTTTATTCAGATGTTCTTACTTACGTCTTGCAGGGCTATGTAGAGCTGACCATCTTTCCCACAGTGGTGAACCTCAACAGGATCAAGCTTAACAGCAAACAATGCCGGATCTACCGAGTCAGAGTCAATGATCTGGAGGCTCCTTTTATTTACAATGACCCTACGCTCGAAGTCTGTCACCATGAGTCCAAGCAGTGAGTTTAAATTTTATGCATGTTTTCTATTACTCTTACCCCATAACATTAACCTACAATCTTCCTCTGTGTGTTTCTAGGAGGAACCTAAATTACTTCTCAAGTGCCTACACAGCAGCAGTCAGTGCAGTGGACCCTGATGCTGGACACGGGGAGCTGGTCATCAAAGTTCCTTCTGAGCTCTGGAAGCAAGGAGATGGTTAGTGATATACACACTGTATAACATGCATGTATAACATTTCATTTAATTAAATGTTACCGAATGTGTCTAAAGAACAAGGTTAAGTTAAATAGTAAAACCTTACCCTTGTGAAGGTTACATTTACTGATTTATGTATCTCAATGTGCTAGCACGGAATACAAAGTATTACATCAAATCAACAGGCTTAGGTATTTCGAGTGATACATGCTTGATTTTGTTTTTCTAGATTTGAAGGTTTTAAAGGTCTACATAGAATTCTCCCTGGATCAGCCTAAAGGAGGACTCCACTTTGTTGTCCCTGATGTGGAGGGCAGCATGGCTGAGAGGGCAGCTCATGTATTTTCATTTGGATACCAGAACTCCACCAGGTGTGTTTCAGTGTTCTATAAGTTAGCCAATGATAACAAAATTATTGCACAAATTTTGATTTGTGCACTATATTTTATTGTGAGAGCAGTTGTAAATGGCTACATTTTAGCTATATATTTTCCAAATAAATACTTTTATAACATTAATTTGAGTCATGTCATATATCTGCAGATTTTGGTTTCCCTGTGTGGACTCTTACTCTGAGCTGTGTACCTGGAAGCTTGAATTCACTGTTGATGCCTCGATGGTGGCTGTTTCCTGTGGAGAATTGCTGGAAACCATCTACACACATGACATGAGAAAGAAGACTTTTCACTACGTCCTACCCATCCCCACTGCAGCCCCTAACATCTCTCTGGCTGTGGGGCCTTTTGAAATTCTGGTGGATCCTTACATGCATGAGGTTGGTATTGATGACCAATATGATATTCTACCATTTTTGAATGATGTTAGCCAGCACATGTAAAACAATAATAATAATACACATGACTGAACCCTAACCTAGCATATTAAGTGCAACAGCAGTTTATGGTGAAGCAGACTTTTGGCCACTAGGTGGCCATAAAGCCTTGGCAAAAATGAAACAGTTTGAGACAGATTGATTTTGAATACCCCTAAAAGCACCAAATGCAACAAACTAGCAACAACAAACATAAAATAATATGAAAGTAATTTTATAAATAATACAACAGTGTTCTATTTTGAAAAGGTGTACTAATTTGCTTCTCTATCTTGTCTGGTCTTACAGGTGACCCATTTTTGCCTGCCTCAGCTGTTGCCTCTGCTCAAGCACTCCATGTCGTACCTTCATGAGATTTTTGAGTTTTATGAAGAAATTCTGACGTGTCGGTACCCATATGCCTGTTTTAAGACAGTCTTTGTAGATGAAGCCTATGTGGAAGTGTCCTCCTATGCCTCAATGAGCATCTTCAGGTAAAGAAACAATACACATATGCTCATGTTTTACAATACATTTGAATTATTTACACAAAAGAAGAAACACATAATGAATTATCCTGAACCATGCTACTAATTTCTTCACTGATGTGATCTTGATTATATGATTTTGAAATGAACAGAGTTAGTAATCTCTTTAATGCTCATTGTTTGTGTTTTAGTACCAACTTGCTGCACAGTGCCATGATCATTGACCAGACCCCTCTAACCCGTCGCTGTTTGGCCCAGGCTTTGGCTCAGCAGTTCTTTGGTTGCTTCATCTCCAGGATGTCTTGGTGAGCTCAACATTTAATTTCAATCAATAAAACTTCAGGTGAAGGTTTCAGGCAGAAAAAAAAAAAAAAATATATATATATATATTTTACTTAAGCATTGTCTGTTGCTAAAGCATGGGATCCACAAAGGCCACATTTTCTTTATAATCATTGGTCTCAGTGTTGCTTCTGCAATTTGCCCATTGTGCCACTGTCGCTACCTAAATCTAGAAATATCTCATTCAGAAACAAAGCAGTGCTTGTATGACATCATTGTTTACATAGCTGTAACTGCTGCCCTGCACCAACCACAGTACTGGAAACACTAGTTATTTTAGGGGTTATTCATACCAAAATATGCCTGACTCATACCTTACTTCTCAGTGAGTATTTCCTAACTTAAAAGCAGGTTTAATAGCTCAGAAAATTGCCTAATTTCTGTATGTTTTTTCTCCAATTTGTTCTGTCAAAATAAACACAAGTAACTTCAGGCAACCTATTGACTGACAGTGAAATAACCTTTTGGGATGTTTCTGGGTGAAGGAAAGTCCTCATCTCATTACAAATGACTAAATCAGTATTATTAAATGGTCTATTTATTTCAAAAGTTCAAGTCCAGGTAAAACCATAAGTTTGATATCATAATTAATAATAATGTATTGGATTTTTTTGCACCTGAATATGCTTAAAGCTCTTAATAATACATTTTTCATTCACTCCACACTGGTGGTAAACAAAAAATGTGTAGTGTAAAAAGTGTAGTTAGCCCTAGCATAATTTGTTTATTACCAGACCTTACCAAACCTTTCTGGGCACAAATGTCACTTATGTGATGTTTGGGAACTACTGCTTTTACAAGTGAGAAAACGTTGATGAACTGGAATTGAAATAATTGCTGGTGTGAATCATGCTCACCAGTTACAGAGAACCATTTTGCCTTTGAGAAGTTCCTTTTAATGGCCTTAAATTTTTCATGGTGTTGTAACATTTGGCCCGAAGTTGTTGTGTATAAAGCAGGTGATGAGAGATTTACAACAAGGCTAACCTCATTTGTCAGGTCAGACTCAGGAGCCAGTCCAACTCTGGACTACTGGATTAATACACCACATACAATAACATTACCACTTTTAAGTTCAACATTATTGTAAGAAAAACTGTACATAAAATTTCAATTTGTGAAGAATGAAGAATTCTAGACAAGATGTGCCCAAAGTATTACATTTTCTGACCAGACTTCATTAAATATGTTTATTCTGATCCCCTGTTTTAGTGAGGTAAAATATGTAATAGCATGCCTTCCTATTACATAATGTACTTATGTTTTTGCCGGCGTTTGTCTGTTTGTTTGTTTGTTTGTCTGTTAGCAACATAACTCAAAAAGTTATGGACCGATTTTGATGAAATTTTCAGGATTTGTTGGAAATGTGAAAAGGAAGAACTGATTTAATTTTGGGGGGTGATCTGGAAGAAATCCTGGATTCTGGATCACTTTGAAATTTTAGTTAACATTGTGGTAAATGGGGCCAAAAATTTTGTTTCTCAATATCTCAGTTAATTATTGATCAAACCCCATGAAATTTGACTCAGGGATGGACAATGGGATCCTCTTTCATATTCCAAAGGCTAATCCGGATCTGATCCAGAAGACTGATTTTATCGCAATTTATATAAAAAATGGGGGTAGTCCTTGGCGGAGGTCTGCGCTCTCTGAGTGCTTTTCTAGTTTATGTTTCACCACTTGACATTTCAAAACACTGTTAACACACACACAAAAAATTAAACATGTAAACATGTATTGACCTGTTTGTAACTCACTTTTGACATTTCAAATTATGTTGTCAGACAAAAGAAAGTAGAAAAATACCAAGATAAGATATGCCACCTATTTTTTATTATATCGCTAAAAAGCTCATTAGTTTACCTTACCTCATTCTCACGCTGCTCATACAACAGTTGAGAAATTGAGCGAGATGCCTCTGCTCTGCTCTCTGACCTCCAAAATCTCTTCAGATGTGGGGCCTTGTTTTGGTGAGGGCCTAATGTTGTGTCAGAAAAGACCCCACTAACATTGCTGTTCTTTGATTCTGAAGGAAGCGTGGCGCTGTCTGCGAGCAATTAATCAGAGAAAGAGGCGAGTGGGGGCTGTAATTGAAAACAGGCTGCTGCCAGGAGTGTGTCATGACCATAAACGACAGCACCAAGAAGTTCTGCTCTTTTTCAAACTTAATACATGGGCCACACTTTCAGTTCAGCTTTATGTTTAGCTGTGTTGTTCAAGAAAAGCTGAAAATTATATAGTGGTAAAAATCTGCAATATTTTAAGTACATTTTAAGCTTTTGGTTTTGTTGTAAAGCTGAACGATTTTTTAATTGTGATTTCACTGTGATATTGTATTTGCATTCACAGCACAACCTTTATTATTATTATAACTTTATTTTGCTTGAGAAAGTACAGCTGTAGCAATTTGCCCATCAAGTTACAGTTTTGTTGCTATCACGAACAATCCTCATGAAACTCCTTCCTTCGGGGTTGGACTTCAGAGTAGGACAAATTCCCAGTGCTTCAAGCCAGTACCATCAATTGAAAATGGCTTCTGGGTGGGAGCCGAAACGCTTGACTTGATCGCAAAAACAGACTCCAGATGACCACTGATGAAATTTCTCTACATTGAATCACTCCTGGATAAATACACTTCTACACAACTACACCATCTCAGTCCTTATGATCTGAATGTTATGGACGCTGCGATCAAACTTGCAACTACTAAGCATTTATTTAGAACACTTTGCTAGTATATATTTTGGAGGAACAGAGATACAGCTTAACACAAGGTGGTAGTAGAGCTGAAAAAAGTCTTTTAAGACATGGACCAACCTACGCATTTCTAATATTTTTCAACTGGAACATATGACACCTTAATTTAGTAATTGTATGGTCAGCACAATATCTGTTTGTGGTCTTAGAATAGTTCTGGCAGAGTCTTTCAAATGTTATTGAGAAAAGTATATGAATCTTCACTTGTGTGTTTTTGAATGACAAAATAAACTAAGGCTTCGTTGACAAGAAAGAACCAAAATAGTTCGTGTTCACAGCACACTCAGTTAAAGCAGCAAAACCACAAAAGCTTTTGGAGATTTAGGGAGCTGTCTGCTGTAAACCCACCAATGTTGATTATTCTGCCACCATTTTACAACCTGATCACTTTAAAAGCTGTGTTAAAATGCATTGCCAACTTTATTTCAAGAAAAAAACAAACAAAATCTTTCTCTTAATCTTCAAATATACAAAATATTACAGAGCAAACCACATATTCACCACAGTATAAAAGGTCATGGCAGTACAAGCAATGATTTTTGAGTGACTTGATGCCTTTGTGAACTGTGGGTGGCACTGAATACTAAACCAAGCATAAATCAATATCATGTTTTATAGCAGCATAAATGAAAGCATGGGCTGCCTAACGTCATGTGCTTCTTGGTTTTGAAGGGCTGATGAGTGGGTGTTAAAAGGCATATCCGGGTACATCTATGGCCTTTACCTGAAGAAGACCTTTGGAGTCAATGAGTACAGGCACTGGATCAAACAGGTAACTTGCGTATTGTGTTGTCACCTTACAAATATTTCACACTGTATTTCAATACTAAGGAATAGACTTTATACTCAATACTGAATCCGATACCACAATGATAATAAAAAATACTTTTATTTTGACATTAGAATGTGATTTTCAATATTAAGTCATAGTACTTTCTTTTATATTACCATGTGGTCTTATGTCTCTGTAATCTCTCAATCATCCAGGTAGATGCTATAGTAGTCCATGGGCATGTATTAGTCTCTGTGATCTTATACCTATTCTGATACAGCTCAAGATCATTTTAAAAATTCTATTCAAATTCTGTTCAGGAAAGGTTAATTTCTGTCCTGTGAATATGGCTTTTTTGAGTATCTAGTTTCAATACTAGTTTTAATATTAATTAGTATCTAATTTTAGATATTTTTGACAGCTCCACTTTCATATTTGAAACACCTGTGTTTATAGAAATCTTAGATATTGTTATCACTGTACTTTACTTTTTAACATTACTTTATAACTTTGAATTCAGTATGCTATTTTGGGATATACTTTGTTTTTGCATTGATCAAAAGATTTGATGTATTAATAATGTTGCATGGAATCTTGTCATCCAGGCAAAATCTAAAAATACAAAAAGAAAAGGTCAAACTGACTATAATTGTTCAAATAAAACTATAAATAAAAATATTTTAAAACCTTTATTATCTGCATGGTGTCTAGCTATAAGTCCATTCATTTTTGCATTTCCCAGGAGCTTGACAGGATAGTTGAATATGAGCTCAAGATGGGAGGTGTTCTGTTGCATCCAACCTTTGGGGGAGGGAAAGAGAAAGACAAGTAAGTATACAACATGGTACGTTACTTTTATTCAATATACAATAAACACCATTTTGACATTCTTGTTTGTTCTCTTGTAGTCCAACTCCTCACCTTCACTTCTCCATCAAACATCCACACACACTGTCCTGGGAATACTTCAAAATGTTCCAGTGTAAAGCCCACCTTGTGATGAGGCTAATTGAAAACCGCATCAGTATGGAGTTCATGTTACAGGTATTGCTGAGATTTCTGAATGTGTGAGATTTTTTTATATTTTGATATAGAAATATTAATAGGACTGTCACAATAATTACTATATTGACTTAATGAATCATTTTTGGGGGTCAGTATTTATTGTGGGTACTTTTTCTTTGCACTCGTGGGAAAACTTTGGTTATTTTTCTGTACTATGGTATGATTTGAGCTGTAGAAGTTTGAATAAATAACTTCTATGACTCATTATTGATACAAATTATTTAACTAAATGTTTTAATTTTGCTATTTATTTATTGCAGCTCATATTTTTTAACAATGTTGTACATTTAGAATATGTTTTCTTGTTTAAATCTGCTCTTTGTCTATCATCATACTTATTTTCTTACATGGCATGTCCATATTTGTTGTCCTGACATGCCTGCATATTCACACTTTGTCTCTTGTAGGTCTTCAACAAGCTCTTGAGTTTGGCCAGTACTGCGTCCTCACAGAAATACCAGAGCCACATGTGGAGCCAAATGCTGCTGTCCACCCATGCTTTTCTCAAATCCATCTCCAACGTCTCAGGCAAAGACATAGGACCCCTCATCAAACAATGGGTGTATCCTTTGAACTTCAAATGTTTGAATATAAAATGCATTTATCAAACATGGCCGCTTATTGCTTATATAACGCCCCAATAGTGATGATCAGACAAATCCATGGAGACTATGACGGACCTTCCACTGGACTAACTGCACAGTACAGCTTTAAGTCTGTTGGCTTTAAGTCTAGTTTTTGTACATTTTTGTCTTAACTTAGTGGCGTTCAGGGACCAGAGCAGTGTGGTGAAATTCTTTGGCAGTTTTGCCTTCAACAGGAAAAGAAATGTTTTGGAGCTGGAGATCCGTCAGGACTACACTTCGTCAGGAACTCAGAAATATGTGGTGAGTGCTATGAAGAATGCACTGTTTTGTCTTACTAATATTTTTGTACATTTGGTGGAGGATCAGTTTTCTTGTATCAGTTTCTTGTTATTCCTTGTTTTGCCTTGTTTTGCCATAGGGTCCTATTAAGGTGACTGTGCAGGAATTAGACGGCTCCTTCAACCACACTCTGCAGATAGAAGAGAACAGCCTTAAGCATGACATCCCCTGCCACTCCAAGAGCAGAAGGTGCACTCATACAAATCACATAACATCCACTTTACATCTTTACTAGTACATCTTTACATCTTTTGTTATGATTTAAGGGAAATAATGTCACAATTGAATTTGGTTTCTGCAGGAACAAGAAGAAAAAGATTCCTCTGATGAATGGAGAAGAAGTGGACATGGATTTGTCTGCTATGGAGTAAGTACTAGCAGTTTTTGCAAAGTCAAACAATGAAATGTATGGTAAAACCTCATTTAGTGGTGCATTGTACAACTTTTTTGATGGAGGGTCTGCTACCTACTTGTCTCTATGGAGATGTGTGCCTGGAATTTTCCATGATATGACATTAAATATATTCATCTAGCATTTATTCATTACAGGTGTATTGCTCAAACATACGTACATTCCTTCTATAAATAGGGGAGACTCTCCACAGATCTGACTTCTAATGTAGTGTAGCGCTGTAAGCTGCTTGTCTCCCTCGTGATCGATAGGTTTAATCTATTCTGTGGGACATTCTAGGCAAAGCTATAACATTTCTATGGAGACATGCAGGTGGTGGACCCTCCACTAGAAATGTTACACGGTGCATCTTTAATTGTCATGTTCTTGAACAAGACACTGCCATTGATTTTCTTTTGAATCAAATAATTCCTGGAAAGGGAGCTACTAGTTCAATGTTCAGTTTTTTTTTTTCCTTTCAGTGCTGACTCCCCTCTCCTGTGGATCCGCATTGATCCAGACATGTCCATTTTGAGGAAGGTTGAATTTGAACAAGCAGATTTCATGTGGCAGTACCAGCTCCGATATGAGAGGGATGTGGTGGCACAGGTTGACAATTTATTATACTCGTACTGCTATTGCTCTTGTTATTATAATAGTTTTAGTCACTTAATTGGCAGTTGGTGGAATAAAACAAGTAAAAGTGAAAAATCTATTTGTTTTAGGTTGAGTCCATTGTTGCGCTGGAGAAGTTTCCAACTCCTGCCTCCAGACTGGCTTTGACGGACATATTGGAGCAGGACCAGTGCTTCTACAAAGTCCGCATGCAAGCCTGCTTTTGCCTGTCTAAGGTACCTTTATTAGTATGCTCATGGCCATGCAGCTGCAGGGATCTGTATATGGCACTTAGATGTAGTTAAGTTTACAGTATGGTTGTTCCTATACCGATACTGGTATCAGCAAAACCTCCAATACTGCACATTTTTTCAGGTATCGTATTGGCAAGTACTCACCGATCTCCTACTACACTGTATTTTCCTCAATGAAATACAACAAGCGTGCCTGATGTTTACACCGCTAATGCCCAGAACTGGTTAAATAGACTGTGGAGGCTTTGTAGACACTTAAAACATGCTAATAATAACATAAAGTGTGTTACCTCTCTAATGTCTCCATTTTCGCCTTTGGTGTGGGCGCTCAACTTAGTCGAAAAACTGCTCTGTAGACAGTGCAGCCCGATAACAGTGGCATCAGCTCTAACTCAGACTTTATTTCCTCTGCATAATTATGTGCTCTGAGAATGAGCGTCTTTTTACAGGCTCTTGTATTGTAACAATAGTGAGTAGCTTTAGTCTACTTTTTCATACTAGGTGGTTTCAGACTTGTATCAGTATCTACGAGTACACTAAGGTCAAGTATCGGTATCGGATCGGATGCCCCAATGTATGTATCGGAATGTATCGGAACAACACTAGTTTACAGGGACCCAACCCATTTTCCACCTGTGTCCTTTAAATTACCGTATTCCATGAAAGGACTAGAAACAGTTTATACAAATCTTTATTTTTTCTTTATTGTTGGCATTTTGGCTGAATATTTCTGACATATAACTTGTTTTGAAATAGGGCAGCAAGACTCAGTGAATATCTGAATACTAAAATTTTAAAGTTTGCACTAGGTAAATACGAAGGCAGGAGTGGGAATTTGTATCTTGGCAGACAGGTGGAGCTGTGAAGGTGTACCGGGAGTAATCTGCATGGATTAGTGTATGCAGGGAAGTAGAGGAAGAGGAAGTGAGGCCCGAGGGCGACTGTATGAGTTTTGGGAGGTCTGGTGAATGATGTATGGAGAGAGAGAGAGAGAGAGAGAGAGAGAGAGAGAGAGAGAGAGAGAGAGAGATGGAGATGGAGGAGTCCAGCTGAGGACTTCACACAGCTGTGCAAAAGTATGACTTATTTATTTGTGATATTGACTTCCTCTAATGTAATATTAATCAGCAGAGTGGTCCAATCATAAAACCATATTATCTGTAACTATGTCTCAATTTCTATTTTACTTTATTTATTTATTTTTTTATTTATTTTTTTTATAAATTAATACAATTCTTCCGTAAAAGTAATTAATATCTTATATATTTCTTGTCTTAAAAATAAATTCAGTAATTCCCACAGATTATCCTGAGACTATTATCGTGCAAGGTAAACCGAATTTGAATCAATTGATAGAATATGACCTTTAAAAATCATGTGTTGCCTGGGCTGTCCAAATGATGGCCCAGGGGCCAACTGTGGCCCTCAGGCTAATGTTTTTTGGCCCTCAAGCTTTCAGATAAATTGACCCACTTTATCCTGTGAAGTACTTCTTACTACTACTTTTTAAATCGTCTATCATTGTCATTTAAATAACTAAACATTTTCTGACAGTGAATGAAGTTGTGGTGGTACTGATTCACTGTATTATTCACAGTCTGTGGCTCTCCACATGGACTGTCTTTCAATATGCAGCCCTCTATGAAAAAACAACAACTTTGGGCATCCCTGTGTTAGGCAGTCCCCTGTACACTCACTTTCTTATGCTCATATTAGTACCTTGTAAAACATACTCACAACCAATGTAAATGTAATGTAAACAGCTAGTATTCAGGGGAGTCACATGACTGAAGGAATGCTCTCCTAAACCATCAAATAATTCTTGTAAAGATTAAAATAATAAAGTAATCAACCATGGATGAATCTGACTAAAAGCCAAAAACATAGGTATTATATAAGGAAACTCCAGGTATAAAAACATTCTTTATGGCTTGCCCACCAGTTAACCCTTACTGTACTGAAACCTCAATAATACTATTCTTGGGCTTAAAGAATTTCTCTCTTCTCGTGATTGTCTGGATTTTGGCCTTTTCCAGGTTTAACCCCCCCTGGATTTCCGCTATTTCAACTTCCACCTGAATCAATATTTTCACAACATGATAAACTGTGAGCTGGTCGCAATGGCAGCATTTCACTGTTTCACTGAGTTGCTGTGTTTGGCTGCGGAGCCTTCGACAGACTCCCTCCGTAATGGCCTTTGGTATATACTCCACATACAGGCTCCATTCGCATAAACAAGGACTTGCATACTCTGCCCCAACCACAAAATGAAATATGACTTCAACCCTCACGGACCGTGCGCTATGATTGGCCGGGACAGACTAAATTTGCTTGTTATTGGTAGGAACTGTGGAGTATAGCCTAAAGGGAGGAACACATCAAACTCATGTTCAGAAGTCATGATGAACACACACATGCAAAAACATCCCGGCGTGCATGCCCCCCTCTGTTTACCTTCCCAAATGACTACATCCTGTGGCGCTGACCCTTAGCCCCTGTATTACCACATTTACATAAATCTCCAATATCCTGCGTAGGACCAAAGACCGCTGGAGCCGCTGCTTGAATACCTGTGGAAAGTTGGTGTTGTGATTGGTGTTGTGTTCATCGTGAAACATAGGAAAGGCGTTGCTCAAAACATATTTTCTAACAAGGCATATTTTGGTATATTAGAATCACATGACATTTTTCACTTCTGACTACATTTTGAGGAATTTTGAGCATTAAAAAAGTTTTTATACACTTGTTTTTTATCTTGTGTAGGCCCATCACAATAATTACTACTTACTTATAGATGGAACAATAATTTCTGAGGGACAGTATTTATCATGGGTACTTTTTCTTTGAATTAGTGGGAAATGTTTGGTTATTTTTCATTACTATGATGAGATATGAGCTGTAGAAGGCTGAATTATAAACTTCTTTGACTTATTATACATACAAACTAACTACTTCAGTGTTGTGTTCTGTTTTTATTTATTGTGGTAAATTTTTTTTACATTATTGTAGATTTAGAATATTTTTTTTAGGATAATTCTGCTTTATGATTTGGTTTCAGTATTATCCTTTATCATCTATACTCACTTCAAAATGTATTATTGTGACAAGCCTAATCTCGTGGCATGTGCTTAAACTGATATATCTTTTTTTTTTTTTATTCTGACTTGATGAGAACATATTCAAGTAATCCTTTATCATTACCTTTATCATATCATATGATCAAGTATGGGAATACTGTCCTTTTATGAATTAAAGTAGTTGTATGAGATGATCCCACTTATTTAGTTTTATGTCTTATTTTTGATGCAATATCACTGTTATCTGAGACTTAGTTATTTTAGACTTCCATAGTAATTAATTATTTTCTTTAAATCTCTTTTAGAAATATGGATTACATACTATACTACATATACTATATGGCTACACTTCTTTGTCATACATTTTTCTCGTTACAGATTGCAAATTCCATGATGAGCACGTGGCAGGGTCCTCCAGCGATGAAGTCCTTGTTTACCAGGATGTTCTGCTGCAAGAGCTGCCCGAACATCGTAAAAACTAACAACTTCATCAACTTTCAGAGCTACTTCCTGCAAAAGGTACATCCCACAGACCAATGAACTGGCACACGCAGACAGGGCACTTTATACCGCAGGCTTTTTCCACTTGGACGACGTGGCTTCTCACTTTCTTTCATGTTGTGTTCTGCATTATTTTAGAGAAATTAGTAGAATCTAATGGCTTGGATTTAAACAAATAAACAAGACTTATACAAGGCCTATAGGCGATATGTCCAAAAAAAAAGATTTGATCATTATTTATTAGGTCTGGGCAAAAATAAAAAATTGTAATCGCGATTAATCGCATGAGTTCGAGCGATTAATCGCATGTTATAAGCAAAACCAATTAATGAATTAAAAAGTAGAGTATAGTGCACTTTTATTGGAAATGTAAATGAAAGAGCCACACGTTTGTTGTGCAAACAGCATTTCTTTCACAGGGAAACCCTCAGAGTTTGTTTAATAGTATAATTTTTCTTTTGTTTTCAGACAATGCCTGTTGCTATGGCTTTACTCAGAGATGTCCAGAACCTCTGCCCTAAAGATGTCCTCAACTTCATACTCGACCTTATAAAGTATAATGACAACAGAAAGAACAAGGTAAAGACCTCTTTCACATTGCCATACACATTTTACTGTACTGCATGCAGAATGTCAAGTTATGTTCTGTGATCAGAATTACAATGCAAATTTATAAATTAATACTTCATCTCTTCAAACATTTTTTTTTTTTTTTTTATCTTTTGTTGCAGTTTTCAGATAACTATTACCGAGCAGATCTGATAAAAGCTCTGACCAACTCGCTCACACCAGCCATTAGCATTAACAACGAGGCCCGGACAGTGGTCAGTCTGAATCCTGATGTTCGTCTCATTCTGGAGGAAATCACACGGTTCCTCAACATGGAAAAACTACTGCCCAGTTTCAGAAACACAATCACTGTCAGGTATCACAATCACTGTCAGGTATAAAATTTGGCTGTGAAATTGTGTGTAACAGGATTTAACAATATTTTTTGTTGTGTTGTCCAGTTGTCTTCGAGCGATTCGTGAGCTGCAGAAAAATGGTCATATTCCCAGTGATCCATCTCTGTTTAAGTCCTACGCTCAGTACGGACACTTTGTGGATGTCCGGGTGGCTGCACTGGATGCTCTCATAGACTATACAAGAGGTTTGACTTGCTACACTGATGACAGCTGCCTCATTTCCACTGTAATTGTTTTTGCCTACAGTCTACTTGACTTCACTGAGATATTATTTCTTTGCCTGGGATGTTCCACAGTATGGCATTAACTCTTACTGGCATTTATTCAATTAAAGGTGTTTTTATTCCAAGAAAAAAAAAAAAAAAAACTTTTACTGTGAATAAGGTGACCTCTTCATAGATAAACTTGTAACCTGCGTCAGCTGAAGCTTGTGTCCATGGGGATAATTATGTTTAATACAATATTGTGAAACAATCTGGGCAAAGCAATAACATCTCTATGGAGACAAACAGATACTCAGTGGGCCTATAGGCTACATTCTATGCAGCAATAATAATAAATAATAAACAACACACATCAACATTTTAATGGTTATAGTTTACAGAAATGACTTGCAGTGTTGTCTTTTAGTTGAGCAGAGTGCAACAGAGCTGCAGTGGCTGCTTGACATGGTTCAAAATGATCCAGTTCATTATGTCAGGTCAGTAAGTATAATATTATGTGTAGATTTTTAAGTTTGGTACATGTTCCCATCTCGTCGTATTATTGCATCACCGTTGCTATGTTTTTGTTTTACACATTATTTGTCTTTCACTGCTGTAGCTCAAACATACTATGCTCGTAGGCTCATCATTCCAGTGTCTTATCTGAATCATTGTGGTGTTGCTGTTTTAACTCTATTCTGTTTCATTCAGGCACAGGATTTTGGGGATGCTGTGTAAAAATCCTCCTTTCACAAGAACGTCAGACTCAGTCCTGTGTAATGAAGCTTTGGTCGACCAGCTCTGGAAACTCATGAACTCTGGTGAGACACTCAAGTCCTAAATTAATTTTATATCACTGACATACCATTATCTTATGCCTTCTGACATCTATTCTGTTCTCAGTATAACCTAAGTGCGTTTTTAATGGTCAGTATTAGCCAAGCTAAGCCACTTTATTTATACAGCACACTTAAAAACGAAGAAGAAGGTTAGACATTTCAAAAGTAGTAGCACTAGTTAAAAGCCAGATCGTAAAGGGGAGGTTTTATAATGATCAATTGGTGCAGCATTCTTTATCGATACTTTGCAGCTGATGTCATCATCATTCCCTGGGGGTGTGATGCTAACTGATACTAATAATCAATCTGAAGCTCTATTAGATGTTGATTTTAGCTGTGTTTTAACACAATCTGACCAGAAACAGCTTTTTTCAGGTTTAGCTGAAACTACAACAGGTGAGTTTAAAGAAGTCTCTTACACATAAAATAGCAAACACCTAAACAGGACCGTTGATCATAGCCATCTTTAAACTTTTTTGTCAGTGTTTGCCAATGTCTCTGTGGTAACAGTCATAGAGATACATGTAGAACACCCCAGCCTGATGTCACTACAAGATTGTGAGGTAATTTTAAAGTTAAGGTGCCATGACAAGAAATCATGTGTAAATGAAATTTCTTGTTAGCTGCTCTATTGACAATGGATAATGGATGAATTGAACCTCTCCTTAAAAACAGTTTTAACTTGAATAGCAAACTAAGCAGTAATGGACCTGTTTAAAAACCTGTATTTTCCCTGTAGAAAGTGCTGTTGCTTATGGTCAGTAAAATAAACCATGTGTGAGGATTCTTTTCTGTAGTCAGTGGAGTCTAAACCAAATGTGGCACATCGTTATATGCCCTGGCTTTATAGAGCTGGTCTCTTTGGCCCCATACTCCAGGTTTGGTCATAGTGGCTCCTGCAGGCTGCACGCTCCGCTCAAAACCCAACAAATGAACTAAAGGTTTTGGCTAAATGCGTGTCTGCTTTGTTTATTTAACTCTCATAATTACAGCTTTGTTTTTCCTCGTGGCTCATTAAAAAGTACTAATACCCTGCGCTGTGTGCAGAATTCAACCACAAATTGGCAACCCAGTTACACACAGGGATAGTGGTCACTTCATGCACGTTCAACAGTTCTAACCATAGACTTAATTCAACTTAATTCAATTGATCAGAAAATGGGCCTTTATACTTTTGAGTAAAATTAAATAATACTTTGGGCTCTGCTAGTTCCAGAGCTTTAACTTTCTATAACATGGTCTCAAAAAAGGCAAAAAGGGCTTTGGTCGAAGTGGAGGTCATGTCATTTCAACAAAAAAAGCTGTTGAATGACCTGATACACTACTGGGTCACTGATAAATATTTCTATCACACTACAGTGACAGAATACTTTTGAATGAATGTTAATGCTTGTATTTTTATAGGCATTATTAAATATGTATTGCGTACTATACATATGGTAGAGGCAGTGGTATGTGTTATTGGATTGAAAGTTTAATTTATCTTGTTTGGATTATGATTAGAACCGTTCAAGTATACAAGCGTTTTCCTTTAATGCATTCCAGTTAGTCAAAGAATGTTGAATTGAAGGTACACTATGTAACTTTTCTGATACAGGCTATGGGACTACCACCTACTTGTCTCCATGTGTTGCTATTGCTGAAATATTTCACAGTATGGCATTAAACGTCTGTATTCAATTACAGTTTTTAAAGGGCCCATATTACTTTATTTTTGATCTCTGTTAAAATATTGTTTCCTCATCAGAAACATACTTGGAGTTGTGTTGAGTTTCATTCACACATGTTTAACACACAAACCTGCACATTTAGGCAGAGTTCTTTTCTCAAACGAAAAACACTGTTCCACCTTAAGCCAATGATGTTCATTTTGTCTTTTTATATACTTTAACTTCTTGGGTTCTTTTTAAAGACAATGCAGTAAAGTGTATTTGCCTTGTTGACATGTTTCGGCTGCTAGCTGCAACTGGTGACAGTTCTGAAGATGGCTTACAGCTAGCAGCCGAAACATGTCAACAAGGTAAATACACTTTACTGCATTGTCTTTAAAAAGAACTCAAGAAGTTACTGTTCCACCGTGTGATGTGTTAATACAGGAAGTGCCCCACTGTAAACCCCATACACCTTGATTAGAATCATTTGGATAATTTCAGCCCTGGAATTGCTAATCTCTACTAAACTAAAGTTAAAGTGTAGCTGTGAACTTTAAAACTGACATCATAAGGTGGAACAGAGCATTTGATCTGATCTGTTCTGTTTTGATTAGAGATGTAGACAGACTGATAATAAAAGTGTTACTTAAACATGTGTGAATTAAACAAAACACAACTCCAGGTATGTTTTGGATGAGCTAAAAACATTCTATTATGTCTTAAAGCTCACAAGCTCACAAATTTGTGTAAAATAGGACCTTTAAAATTGGAGATTTATCGTTAGTTAGCATTGGTGTGATGATGTTTACTTACCAAAATTTCAGAAAATTAAACTGAAAATTGACAGAGACCAGTGTTGTTAGTTTCACTTTTGATCAAGGTCATGCAAACGTTCACAAAGAATATTTTTCATAATAAGAGAAAAAAACATGTGGTTACCTAAAGAGTTCTAGGCTTATTTTGTTTTGTGCATTGCCTCTTTATAATACAATAAATGATTTGTTTTACTGTAACTGAATTATTTCGGCATTTTCCCAACCCTCATATGCAACCACCAAGGTTCATTTTATTGCCTGGATTTTTTCATTGACAGGGTCTTGCTCCCCATTGTCTACTCATGTTTCACTTTCTTATACTGGGGGTCTTAGGTGTCTTTCTAGGCCTCTCATTCGCTCTGCCAATTTAAATAAGGTTACAACAATACACTATATCCACGATTTTACAAAGTTAGGGGATAAATGACGCTTGTGGCAACATATTTTTAATGCATTGACTTGACAAGGACAAAAGATAAACTAATTAACTTGAACTCAATTGTTGTAGATGTCTGTCAGTTTAGATATATGGGCCCCCAGTGTGGTAGCCTTAAATAGCATGCTAAAATAGTTATTATATTCATTTCTCCGCTAACCACAACCCCCCATGTGTAAAACAGACATGCACTGGATGAAGTTTCAACCGACTCAAGGTCAGTGCAGTTAAGATCCATAGAGTTTGCATGAAGCCAAAGCCACACAGTCTGTTGCCCCCTGTGTTAGCCCCAGACCAATGACATACACTGTCCAAGTCATTACCAACTCAAATAACCTGACATTTAATACCACAATGGCACACAGAGACGCTTATCTTCATATATTTATCCTTCCTTACAATGGCTGAGGGATTGTAAAAACTACATATGTGGTTGTTGGCTTACTGCGTTATTGTATCTCACTCTAACTGCTTTTTCCTAGCCGTTCATTTTGGGTTTTGTCTGCTTCAGTTCATATGTTACTCTATTCCTTTTACAGTTGGCAAATTGTATCTTGATTGAATATACCGTTAAGGTTTATAGCAATTCAAATGTAATGTCTCTTTGTGTTTATTGAATTCTGAGGGTGTCTTTTACAACACAAAATGTAGATTCCACTGACTAGCTGAATTTTTTGCCTGAATATGAAATAGACCCTATAATCTATTAAGTCCACTGTGTACCGCATGATTGGACATTACATTTGTGGTTTATCAAATCACTGGAAATGGGCTTCTCTTCTGTGTGTATAAAAAGTTTGGCAAATTTTAGCACTTAAAGGCACTATACCTTATTTTTATTGTCTAAAGACATTAAAAACAGACCTAGGTTATTTTTTATATTGTTTGTAGTGGTCCAAAGTTATTCCTCACTTATCTTGTATATCATCCTATTTTTAAGTGATTTTAACAACAAAGATTATAAGACAAATAAATGCTTCATAATTTGGCTTATTTTGACCTGAAGGGCTGCTTATACAATTTATCTGAGGGAAGACAAATTTTGCTAAAATACATGGGGGGAAAAAAATGCATACGAGGTTGGGGTTTCATCACCTGCTTGTTTCTATGGATATGTCTGCCTGGAATGTTCCACAGTATGACATTAAAAATAAATAATTGTAATACTTAAAAATTTTAAGTATTATTTTTAGTCAGTTGCAGTTGATTTTATTGCTTAAAAATACCTAGAAAAACAGGCATTCTGACTATGAGCAGGTTTTCCTCTCCACAGATCTGACCTGTAACTTGGTCTAGTTTAGTCTCTGTGAAAATAGAAAGGTTTAATATCATACTGTGTGAAACATTCCAGACAAAGTAATAACATCAGCACGGAGAAAAGCTGACGGACTTCCAACCAGAAAAGTTACACAATGCACCTTTTAATATAATTTTTGGAAGATTTTTGGAAGATAAAAAGTGAATGCTGTTTTATATAATATAATATTTTACATTATCATGAGTTTTTGCATATGGCTTTTATTATACACTTTTCTTTTGTCAGACTCATGGAGATAATGTTGCGTTGTTTTGTCCATTCCCAGGTACTTCTCATGACTGGAGACAGCGCTGCGATGCGGTGAACCTTTACTACACGCTGTTTGGTCTGACCCGCCCCTCGTGTCTGCCGCTCCCTGAGCTGGGCCTCGTGTTGAACCTGAAGGAGAAGAAAGCCGTTCTGAACCCCACCATCAAACCTGAGCTGGGTGGAGCCACCGTCATAGACACGCCCGCTAGCATCGGTATCCATGGAGTCGGCATGAGCTATACCACTGTGAGTTTAATAATGGCTTATTTCAAGTGTAAATATGGATTTCATTTCTTAAAGGTAAAAGGCAAAATATGAGAGGCATGCAAAACTATGGCAGGAGCTCACAGGTAATATCAGTTGCGAATGATGTCAGCCCTGGAATTGCCCATCTCTAGTTAATAATATAGGTAAAAGGTAGCTGTTAGCTTGAAAACTATTGCTTCCTGACATCACACGGTGAGCATTTTGAGCTTTAGAGATGTAGACAGACTAATAATGCAGGATTACAGAAACTAACGACATTCTAACATGACCCAGAGCTCTTAAGAGTCAATTTTATAGCACCTTTCAATATTGCACCTTTTTAATATACGGTAATATATTTTCCCGAATGGTCAATATGTCAGTTGTCTACATAAACAACTCCTCTCACCTAATACGTAGCAAAATGTTATATAGTGCGTTCTGTGTTATCAATAGAAATTAGAACAGAAGAAAGAATAGAAAAGAACCAAATAAAGTATCATGATCTATAGTTCCCCCTTTTCAAAACTGTAAAAATATCTTTGTGAGGAAATGCAAACTGTTTTTCTATTTAAGCACACATACTTGCATATGTTTTGTTATCACAATTAAAGTATTAACAAAATAACAGTCAGTTCAGTTCCAATTCCACACTTTCAGGGGTTTATTATTGAGTAAAAGTCTTAAGCTAGCATTGACACTCATGAGCCAGTCCACATGAGCCACACCACTGTTTGCCTCGTAAAGGTTTATTGCACCGTCAGATTAGCGTAGTGTAAATTTCATGACCTACAGAGCTCAAATGTAAATCATAAGAAAAGTAGTATAAACATTATTTTGAATGACATCACAGAGGCACTCAGGTTTCATTGGTTTGGGAGCCAGAGGTGATGTAAGGGGGTCTCTGCATGGTGGTCTATATTTTCTGGTGCTAGATTGTGCATTCAAACATGTAGATGGCACGCTGATATATAATCTTGGGTTTTCCGCTGTTGCCATTTCTATTTGGCTGGACCTGTTTCTCATTGCATCACTGTAAAAATCATCCCACTGATTATAATGTTGGACAAAATGCCAGAAAGATCATGCTGTGAGTTTCTTGTACAGTATGTCTATCCAGCTGTATACTAGTATTTACAACTTTTATCAATGCCTGCTCCTGTCTATTAGACCGGTCAGAATGAGTTGTATTTGCATAGTCTTGTATTCAGTTTGAGGACATACATGTACCTAAACTAAACTAAACTTTCAAGTTACATAATTTTATCTTAGCTAACATGACACTTTCAGTAACATTAGTTTGTGTGTGTATTAGCTGTGCATATGACTTCAATGTTTTTATTCTTCTTCTCTTCTTCTCTTTTAATGTTAATTTTATGATGATTATTTATGTTTTGGTTTGTCAGTATTGTGATTTTAATGTCTTTCTTATTCTGTAAAGTAGAGATAGACAGATATTTGCACTTAACATCAGCCATTGGCCTTAAATCTCTAGCACAGGCTGATATTTAGTTTTGCTCGACCTGCTGCCTAAAAAAATACACATGAAGGTTTAGTGCAAGGAGACAACGGATCAAAATGTGACTACACAGCTTTCTTATAGTTTTGTGGTTAAAAAAAAGGTCTGTGGGCAAGTTTATAGTTAATTTAAATGACAGAATTTTTGGAAAATCATCAATTTCAGCCCAAAATGGCAGAACTGCATTGTAATTGATCGGTCAAAACCCATATTGGTCAATCTCTACTGCAAAGCACTTTGAATTACGTTGTGTACACATTGTGTTATCAAATGAAACAGAAAACGCTCACCAAAATTCTTGTAAAGGAGCAAATGCAAGGAGCTGCAATTTAAAAGTGAAAAAATGCATAGCACACTCAGCTGGCCGATGTCCTAAAGCTTTTTTTTTATTTTTAATAACGTTTCGGCCAAAAGCCTTCAAGAAAAATTATCTTTTGGACATTGGCCATCGGAGTGTGCTATGCATTTTTATGTATTGTGCTATACCAATAAACTTGCCTTGCCTATTCCAGGTGGATGAGGAGCCTGACCCAGTGTCATTGGGCGTATGTGGAGTGGGGCAGCCTCCTCCAGGGCTGAAGAGGAAAGCAGAAACTCCCCTAGGCTCACCCCCCGAGCCCGGACAGGTACTGCAGCCACAGGACGATGACGCTAGAGGAGGACGCTTCAAGATCAGGGTAAAACCCGTGTCTGGGCGATGCCAAATGTTTACAGTAAATTCAATGTTATGGTTTGTTTTGATGTTTTTGGATTTCTTTGGTTTATTAGATTCATGGCAAACTACAGCCCAGAATGACAAAAGAGTGCAATGTAGTGGGTGTTTTGTATTTCTAGATAGGTGTGATCAGTTTGTTGGTATTCATTGAAAAAGATTCTTGGGGAAAAATGTGTTGATTTCAGTGTGCTCAACTTAAGAATTCCAATAAGTCTCAAATTTATGAGAAAATAAATACAAATTGTGGTATTTCTTTTTAGTTCAACGCAATGGAGGATGAAGATATTGACATGGAGACAGTCCATGACAGCCAGGCTTTCATTCATCATCATCTGAATCTGTTGGAGAGACCTTCTACACCAGGTAAAAAAAATCCATTCACTATTTAAAGGTACAGTATAACTTTCTAGTAACTTTCTAGATGTGGCCGTCACCCGCTAGTACATGATTCCATGGAAATATAAAACCACACTTTAGAAGGAACAACATTTTCATGGAAACTGGCAGGAGGGGGGGGGGGGCTCCAAGCCAAGTAAGCAAATAAGAGGAGACACTGTTTTTTATGTTTTTTTTCTCAGTGCAATAAAAACAACCAAAATGAATAAAACAACATGCATGTAATATAGTCAGTTACTGTGACTTTAATAAAAAAAACATGTGTACAAAGAGTTTATTTGATGGGACATGTCAAAACAATTTTTCAATATATTTTCAAATGATTTTGGTTTATACATATTTTGCCCACAGTACATAAAAGAGATTAAGATAGAAAAGACAGAAAATAAACCTCTAGCACCGACTTATGCCTACTGATTTTTACCATTTTACCTCCTGTCCAGGAAAAGAGCCTCCGTCAGTGGAACAATCCATGCTGTCGATGCCTGCTACACCTGCGCCAGTCTTCTCCAAAGAGACCACCTCCTCTTCCTCGAAGCACGGGGGCGATCACGGGCACCACCACCACCACCACCACCACGAACACAAGAAGAAGAAGAAGAAACACAAGCATAAGCATAAACATAAGCACAAACACGAGAGTAAGGACAAGGACAAAGACCGAGACAACGCACACATCTACAGTAACAGCCCTGCCAGTGGACGCTCCCTCAGATCGCCATCGCTTTCTGACTGAAGAGGGAAGTCAGGGCTCCAGTAATCAGCTGTGAGTATTTAGAACATAATGGTGACATGTTAAGTGTAAATAACAGTTTTTTACCTCCAGTCTCCCAGTGTTTAGTATCCAGCAATATCCAACTTTGACTAACAGATTCCAAATGGCCAGCTTTGGTATAAAAATAACAGTACATCTTAGCGGCTTCAGGACACCACAATTGTTATATTACTGTGAATGGGAAAGTGGATGTTAAATTAAGACTGCTATTTCAAGAGTCTTTCTGTCAACAATTACACCATAGCACAACAAAGCTGCCTCTGGATGTTGTTTGAAATGTACACCTTTTAAGGTACTCATAAAATGGTTAAAAATGGTATGGGAAAATAACTTTGGACAGAAACTCAACAAAGTCCAATAATTCAACAAAACAAAGAGAGACTCAGAATATTTGTACAAGGCAAACCCTAACTCTTAAAAATATGCAAACTTCTTAAAGGGCTTATATAGGGCAATCTGATCTATGTTTCTTATCTATGTTGTGTTTCTTCATCAAAAACATAACTGCAGTTGTGTTTTGTTTCATTCACACATGTTTAACACATAAAACCATGCATATTTAGCCTAAGTTCTGAGTTCTCTCAAATGAAAAACACAGTTCCACCTTATTATGTCTTATGGTTATGCAGGAAGTGCTCCACTGTGTTTTTAAACTCTGTATACCTTCTCTGGAATCATTTGTATGATTTCAGCCCTGGAACTGCCAGTCTCTGTTAAACTAAAGGTAAAAGGTAGCTGTTAACATGAAAACTAATTGCTTCATATGACATCACAAGGTGGGAATTACACAAACATGTGTGAAAGAAACAAAACACAGTGTTTTAGACAATGTAACAACATTATAGGACTTATTTATGTGGATACTGTATTAAACATTCACAAAAAAACTAAAATTCTTATCTAAAAATTAGATTCATGCAAGGAAAAACTGGTTTGCAATCCCAAAACATCTGTATTTGGTAATGAGTGGCAGGTGAGATGTGATGTTGTTTGGACACATGTTAGCGGCAGGTGTGAGCAGACTACAGCCAACCCCTTGTGGTGCCATCAGGAGCACGCTGTAATACATGTCTGACCAGGGCCCCACAAATACCTACTAAAACTGAGGCTGCACTGTTAAAAAGGTAAAAACTCACTCTCATACATGCACTCGACGCTTGCCCCGTTGGATTTCGTGCACTTTTAACACCGCTTCCAGGCTGTCTGAGGCATTCTGACCGCACTCGCCTCTGTCCAAACACACGGTTGGGTTTATAGCGCCCCCCTCAGCGCAGATACCACTCCACGTCCCCCGTCGCCTGAACCATAGTCCCTGCCGAAGCTCCGTGGTCTGAGGTAAATGATGGATTGCAGTTTGAAACGTTGTCTGAACTGGACAGTACCTGGAGTTTCTGCTAAAGACATTTCCTTCCCCTTTAGATCACTGTACTTTTCAAATGAGTCATATTAATGTGGTTTTATTAATACTCTGCCAATTTGTTGATTAAAGAGATTTTTGTACTTACAATCGTTTTGAATTTTCTTTCATTTGTTTTGTCAGCAGTCTCTTAGTTTGCTTTGGCATCACTGCTGAAGGGATCGCATATTTGAAACTATCTGACCTCAATTTTTAATGGTCCCCAGCTAAATATATTCTGCAGGAATAAAATCAAAACCCAAATGACTGTCAATAATATACAGTACTTCTATTAATTTAAATAATTTGGATCACATAAAATACATATTTTTTTACAGTTTGAAATTAGTTTATAAATGTTGCACATTATTATTAACATTACTAATATTCAAATTGTTATCTACTGTACAAAACTTGAATGCATGTCAAAGATAGTCATGGCCCGCTCAAGGAAGAATGGAAACTTAAATACATTGTTTCTGGTATGATTTGTACTAATGCAGCATTTGCTCAAGATACACTACATTTCGTCCTTGCAGGCGTTGCATTTGCATAAATCTTTATAAAAGCAAAATTATACGGTATCTTACACAGTAAATTCTGTATATTTTAGACGTGGTTAACCAACGGGCTCAATAACCAGCCTTGGACTTCTGTGTCAAACCAAGCCAGGTTCTACATTACTTTTTATTTCTCTGTGTTCAAAAGCGTGTGAGCGTTGAAAATGAATGCTAAATCCCTCCTCCGAGCCAACACCAATAAGAACGCCGTGCGCTTTTCGGAGTCGCCTCCCCCTGTGCTCTCTCGTGCCTCCGCAGCGGTGGGCCCCCTTCTGTCCCAGTCAGCATCACCTACTGTCGGACCTACAGCACCGGGCTTCGCACAGAACCGACCTGGGACTATGTTGCTACAAAAATGGGTACAGTAAGACTTTATTTGAACGCTGTAGTTAACGACCGTGTGAATTTTTTTCGTGCGTAATTCATGCGTAAAAGTAACTTATTTGGTTCTTATTCATTCTTGGGCGGTTTTAATGTTAACCGTAATGCTTTATTTTCCGGATATACCCGCCCTCCTTCCTTACCCTGCTGCTGTGCATTTGCAGAACAATTGTGGATTCATTTGAAGCTGCAACGATTCGTCAAAGTCAGCGATTGTTATGCGCTCGCGGGTGGTCTCTTGTCGCTTTGAACTACACATGTACCGACACTAACGTAATTTACAAAGACAAAAACTTTCTTTAAGTTACAATTATCGCATCCATAGACCATAATAAACGTTCTAAGATACACTATATTATGCTATTAATAATCACGTGATCTTTCCTCCTTTTGGGATATTTTCCAGCTCATATGGATCCTGTCTGTCGTTTGCGGCTCTGAAGTTACATTGGGATTTGTGTATGACCGGCCCAGACGCTCAGGAGAGGACTGTGAGTACAGCAGTGAACTTAATTGGCTACTGATAAAAAACTGTCCCCAAATAACTTGACCTCAAAGCACCTTAGCGCCATAAAGTGTACTTGGAAACACACTTAGCAACCAGCTGCGTCTCCAGCTGTTTCTGGCTTTCATGTTCTTGCCATTTTGTAACAGCGTGGTGTATTTACAAGATTAGAGAGCTGGTTTCTGTTTCTTTTCTCATTTTAAGTATTTCAGGATTATTTATGAGCTACTAGTATGTCATATTGCAAGCAACATAACCCAGTTGGGCTGTCTAACTACATTAGGCCTATGTTTTTACAGCATTTCTTCTATTCACATTCACACAATCTTTCTGTCTCAATCTTGTAACAGATTTATTATTCTGGCATTGTGAGCCCCCCACATTTGAACCATATTTTTGTGAGTTAGTTACAAGGTTCTTCCCAGTAATCCACACTGGAGTCATGTAACTGTGGAAACAAAGGCGTGTTTTTACAATTTACCACAATAACAGTCCAGTGTCAGTCACGTTCTTCAGCAAGTGCATATTTTAACATTTTTGACACACTTGTATCAGTGATGTCAAGCGTGCTGTGAGTTTAGTTTTGCAGCCTGTGTGTGTAAAAACAATAGTCTTAGATGTGACTGCAAAAGCAATTTGCCAACTGCCACATCAAGACATTCATTACCATTATAAAGGCCATTTTAAGGTTCTGTATGGTATTTTAAGCTAAATTTATAGAGCTGTTAGACCATACCAGAACTTTGAAGGTGCATATAATTTGTTTCGATGGATATGTCATTGCTCTGCCCGTAATGTTCCACACTATGACATTAAACTGCTCTACTTCATATTTATATATATTTATTCAGTTACAAGTGGTTTTATTGCTCAAAAATACCTAGACAAATAGCCATTCTGACTGTGAGTTGGGGTTGCCTTTCCTTAGAGCTGACCTGTAACTTGGTCTGGTTTGATAGAAAGGTTTAATACTAGACTGTGAAGCATTCTAGACAAAGCAATAACATCTCCATGGAGACAAGCATTTGACAGACCCTCCACCAGAAAAGTTACACAGTGCACCTTTAACTTACAGGTTTAAGGTAGTCTTGGCATCTATATTTTGCAAGGTTGCATAGATGCCTTGGCAGTGGTCTGTGCTCTAACGACTGGAAAAAGAAATCTATATTAGGCTTCTTTTGCATCAGTAAAGAGTATGCAATAGTAGCAATACATTTATAAATTGTATTGTCAAAATGTGATGTAAAATTCTTCAAAATCCCTGCTCTAAATTAAAAAAAATAAACATTTAACTCTGCTGTTGAAAGTGCTAGTGCGTCTTATTATTGACTCAAGGCAGAGAAGCAGTGAAAATTCAGTCTCTCTTCCAATCAGAAGCACCCAGCCACAGTGACTTGTTGTACCCCCCTCCCCTCCTCTTCTCCTCTAGCTCAAACTCATTTCAAATGCGCTGGCAGCTTCTTCACATAGAAAATAAGCCTAGCATATAAACTAGCAAATTCACTAGCAAACCATGTGGAAACTCACATCTCATCTAATTACAGCTAACTTGTGTTTTGGTGAGCAATTTTCAACAGCGATTTTGGACGTGTCTCTTTGGTTGAAGTCGCTGTGATTGATTGCACCTGAAGCTCACACGGGGTTAAAATTTGCTCAAAAAATCGACACTTGTTTTTTGGCTAGAGCGCTAGATGTGGAGCACTGCTGAAGGCATGTCCTACACATAGTTGGCCAAGATACATCCATGCTGATCCAAAATACACTTAGCCATCACTGCAGCCAGAGAGCGGAGGAGGACCACAGAGAACATGCATGCTGTAAATGCGAGCAGCTTTCACACATTATAGTTATATTTAGTCTTTTTTATTCCAGACTACCTTTTAAAGTAGGCCACAAATTATTGGTTTTCATTTGGCGTTTCTTTCCGGAAAGAATTCAGCTAATGGAATAACATATATCAAAAATTGTCATCATATTTGTTAGCATTTATAGTAATGCCAAGTTATGACTCACATTAAGTCAATAAAGCCTACAACTTTGCTGGCTATGTTGCTGTACTGTACAAAGTGAAATTGTGAAATCTGTACAGAGTGACTGTTTTATAATTATATAAACAGCAATATGATTTCTAATTGAAACTGAAGTTTTCTAGCCTCAAATACAGTTTACATTGTCTGCTCTCCAAATAGTACTTGAATAGAAAATGTACTGTATTTGAATTTGTAATTAACTAAAAACCCCGATAATATACTATAGTATGGCTTGTTACTCGTAAATGGTCACATTTTTATACAGCCTTTTTCCACCTTCAAGGCACTCAAAGAGCTTTACATCAAGAAACCACTCACCCATCCCCACATACATTCATACACTAGTGGGCACTAGGGGCAAGGTGGGTTAAGTGTGTTGCCCAAGGACACAACAACAGCATTCATCTGTGGAATCTCACCGCCAGCCTATGAATCAGTGGAACTGACCGCTCAATCAATGAGCGGGATTTGAACCGCAAACCTTTGCATCAGTGGACAAACGCTCAGCGAACTAAGCCACTGTCACCCCTTCTTGATATATTTTTACAAACTACTAATTAACTTGAACTGCTTTAAAAGTTAACATGATCCATGTTTTATTTACCGCAATTTAAACTCCTTCTTAATAGCTCATTTCTCCTTAAATGTTTAAATTATCACGCCCATTGCATAACCTGTGTTGATACTCATAGCAAATCACAACCCACACCCAGAGCGACTCTCAGGCCTATAACTCTTCTGCAAAAGACCTCATTGATGCTTGGTGACGTTTTGACACGCACTGTTCTACCCGCTGTGGCAGTGGGCTTTGCAGCATAAATAATATTAAAGAGCCCACACCTCAGTGCCTTCATATAGACCTGCATATGTGTCCACACAGGAACTGCTGGCATCCTCTGGTTTTCTCAAGCTGTTTTTTTTTTTCTGCCAGTTGGTTGGACAAGGACTGTGTTGTAGTGAAAAGTTCAGTCCGTCTCGTGCTCAGATGTGCAGGATGTCTTCAGTTAAAGCCAGGCCCTGGCCTTCGCACACTTGGGGGACTGAGCCAGAATGGGGCTGTGTCCGTCTCCTTCTCCTCCGTAGGGACAAAAGAGCCATAGTTGTGTTTTGGTGTAACCTGAGCGTCCCTGGTGAGTGAACATTAGCACGAGAAGATCCCACCCGCAGATTTGGGTTTGGGTTTGTTACGCTTATTAACAGCTCACCGGCTCATACTGTAGATCAGATTGCTCTCGTTTTGTGCAATCTGCCCACCACAAAGCCAGACTGTGTTGGCAATCTGCTTTTGCATTGGGTTAGGGTAATACTTTCATTTCCTTTGAGAAACCCAGTCCAGTGACTACATTTACTACTTTTACTTTTGATATTATTATTGCCCCAATGGTTGAAATGGCACAATGTCTTCACAGGTACTGTTCATGATTAGTAATCATTGCCAGATGGAGTTTGTTGGCATGCCAAAATCGGGCTTGTCTATGAATAGTACATATTTTAGTCTAGAAGATTTTTCTTTTAGTACAGTTTATAAGGGAGAAAGTTATTTAGTTGAGGGAGGTGTCTCCAGTGGTAGTGCAATTCTTCACTATGTCCTTGGGAAAACACTTCACCTTATCTCTTTATAGTGGCTATATTTCTTTGGGGAAAGACAATTTTTGTTTAGAAGTTTCTTTATGGATGCCTTAGATATAATTCCGACTAATTTGAAGAAATTAGAATAAAAACTGAATTGCCAGCAACATTGTAAACATACATTTCAAATTAGTTTCAGTTTTTGCACTGTTTTTACTGTCTACTATATTCTAAATTACAGGTGAACATCTTTAAAAAAAAATCTACATAAAAAGACGGTGTGTGAATTTCCACGCTTTTTTGTAATGCTCACTCTAATTGCAACTGTCCCACAGCCCGCACATCTCCCTATAACCCCTCCTCTGGCTCCTGTAAGAACCGCTGTTTTGAGCTGGTGGAGTTGGACCCTCCAAACTGTCGCTGTGATAACCTCTGTAAGACCTACCACAGCTGCTGCTCTGACTTTGACCAGCTCTGCCTCAGAACAGGTGAGAAACACCACCAGCTATGAGCTCATTTTGATCTTTTGTCCTGCCTTCACTCTAACAAAGACTTTATCATATGTACACTGTCATACACCAGTGTACATGGAAAATGAAGGGAAGGTGTCTTGCTCACGGACACAACAACAGTGTGCATAGAGCAGTGTTTCTCAAACTGTAGTATGTGTATTAGTGGTTGTACTTGAAGAGCTCTTCAGTTTGTGGGTTTGCCCAATTTATTCATTTTATCAACTTTTTGTCCGTTGGTTAATAATCTCGTTTATAACTACTCAAAATGATGTAGTCCACTTTTAGTCCTGGTTTAGCCCTAGTTTAGACCTGAAGTAGTCCTATTGCAGAGCTGATTTAGATCTGATGGTGCTCTGAAAACCAAATCTGTTCTTTGATTGTATCTGGGGTGAAAATGTTGAGAGCCACTGCCGCCCTACTGCCGTACGAGGTATTCCCAGTGGTCTCCTATCCAATTTCAGCTCCTGAATCTTTAATATATATTTGGAGCTCCTGCACACATTATTACAGTATGCTGTTTCCTTCTCAATCTACTTGTACAGTATAAAATTGTTTTTCATAAGCTTTTTATTATTTTTCTACATTTTCACCACTGCATCTCCTTGTACCCCAGTGTTGGTCTGTCAGCACTTGCCTCCTGCTATTCCCAGTGTTGGTGGTCTGAGCCTGGTGGTCTATGGCTTACCACTGCTTTGCCACTCTCTCTCCCCTCTCCCCAAAAACCATGTTAGATCCATATTTGGTTTTACCCTGACACTGTATCTTGGGCAGTGATCTCAAATGACCTTTTTGAATAAACGTTTTACCATATACCAGATATAATCGTTTATTCCCACAGTGCAGCCTAGCAAGTGGTCCACTGGAGATGCCAAACCACTAACATTAAAATATCACATCTAATTTATGTGCATGCGGCTGTGCTCTTAGAAAAATGATCCAGTTGACATGAATTCGGGAATACAATACATCTTGACTGTGGATGTTTGTGGTTGTTAATATTTATTTATTGAACTTGATGACATTTTACAGAGGGAGGATACGAGTGCAGTAAAGACCGCTGTGGGGAGATGCGTAATGAACATCACGCCTGCCATTGCTCAGATGACTGTTTGGCCAAAGGAGACTGCTGTACCAACTACAAAGCCCTGTGCAGAGGTCAGCTACTGTTCAGTTTTTATCATTACACTGACTGTTTGAAAGATATCTGAATACTGTGCATTGATACTTTGCAGTGACATCCCTATGGGGGTGCTCTACATGCATCTCGAATAGTTAGTAAAGTTATCATGGTGACACAATGCACACGTTAGCAAAAACAAAAACAAGTTTTAAAGGTGCACTGTGTAACTTTTCTGGTGGAGGGTCCGTCAAATGCTTTTTTCCATGGAGATGATGATCCTGTTGGCCAAACCAGACCAAACTGCAGGTCAGATCTGTGTAGATGCAACCCCGCTCACAATCAAAATGCCTGTTTTTCTATGTGTTTTTGAGCTATAAAACCACCTGCAATATAATAAATGAAAGATAGAGCAGTTTTATGTCATACTGTGAAACATTCTAGGCTGAGCATTGACATATCTATGAAAACAAGCAGGTGAACCTCAACCAAAAGTTTCACAGTGCACCTTTAAAATTGTCTGGGGAAAAAAAATACAAAATGGGCTTCAAAAACACATTTCCAGGCCCATGGTCCTGTTTAGGTGATTTTCAACAAAAAAGGTGAGAGTGACTAACTGAAAAACTGTTGCGACTTTAATATTTAACAGCACAAATCGGCTTACCTTTTGTAGTTCAAGCTAAGTCAGTTCTTTGTGGTCAGACTGTATTATAATAAAGCTCAGATTAAAGTCTAATAAAGCCTCAGACAGAGCAGAACCTACATTTAGCATCACACCCCTACAGAATGTTGAAGATATCAGCTGCAAAAAATCGATACAGAACTGCAATTGCTTGGATATATTTGTCTCTGTAAATGTGTAAATTAGGTTACTTATGTATCCATGCAAAGTAATTTTAGATCAATATTGGGATTTAAAATGTTCAGAATTTAAAATAATAATGCACAGTTGTCATAGATTATAACTATATAGCACACAAAATCATAAATTGTCTTTTGTGTGCTATATAGTTATACGCTAAATTGAATCTTGAGCTTTATGTCATGCTGTATGTTGTAACCTCATCAGAATCTTACCTGGAGTTGTGTTTTGTTTCATTCACACATGTTTGAGTATTTCTTTATTATCAGTCTGTCTTAATAGAGATAAATTACTCTCTTAGTTTAACAGATGAGTAAACTTATACACATTTACTTATTACAGCTTATTTGGTATCAGTTAGACATAGATTTAGACTTAGACAAACTTTATTGATCAACAAGGGAAATTACTTGGACACAGACACAGCTCATATATCACAATATATTATAATTAGTTGACTTAATAATTTAAAAAATAAAAATAAAATTATGCAATTCTTTATTCATGCAGGGGTAGTCCATAGTAGCAAAGGTGTCTATGACCATTCTATAGTACAGTAATTTCAACAAGACTTTAGGATGCATTCGCACTTGTGCTGGTTACGTCCTGGTTTGAGCCCAGTTTTGTCCAATATTTCAAAGTAATGGTAAATTTGCACTGTTTCCATGGTTTTAAACTATTGAAAACTAATCATAAAAGTGCTCTTAATGTCACCTTTAAACAGGAAATTGAAACCCATGAATATGCTTGGTTTGGTCTTGTTCTAGCCCTGGTTTAATCCAGATTTACATAGTGCCAGTATAAATCCCAGTTTAGTCCCAGTTTAGATGTTGGGGTATGTGTAAATGTTGCAATTATTAACCCCCATCCAAAAATGTTCTCACTACTGAAGGAACGCTGATCTGAAAGCTTGTTTTATACTACCATGAGCAGAGGAGTTTGCATCAAAATCTTACTCCTGTCCTAAACTTTTCAAACACATTTGTTTACCACTACTTTGTTTGACTTTTTCTTATCATAATATGTTCTGTCATCATACATGTAGCCAATCTCTGAACATTTTTTATATTATAGTCCATAATTGCACTCTGTAGGCCAACCATAGTTTTGATAATCTTTCAACTTCATTTTAGGAGACACATCATGGCTACAGGATGACTGTGAAGAGATCAAGAGTCCTGAATGTCCAGCTGGGTACGATCACGTTTGGCAAGTTACAAATGACACATGTTTATATGAGCGTTTGTAATTGCGTTTATTTGAGCAGGTTTGCGCGTCCACCTCTGATTATGCTGTCAGTGGACGGATTCAGAGCCTCATACATGAAGAGAGGAAGCGCCGTCATACCCAACATCGAGAAACTGAGTAAAAACACATTACAGATTGACATTATTGTTAATTTGACATTTATAATAGCTCTAAATACACTGTTTTTTTCCAGGGACTTGTGGAACCCATGCCCCTTACATGAGACCAGTTTACCCGACCAAGACCTTCCCAAACCTTTACTCTCTAGCCACTGTAAGTCAATGCATTTTATTAACAGCATATTTTCAGTTGTTTATAGATGAGAAATACCTAGGGTTAAACAAGGACTTCAGCACAAAAATGTCCTACCATATGATTCATAGTGGTCACTCAGTGCAACTAATAATGCATTTTGTATCAAGAAGCTCCAACGCACTGCACACATTTTGGAAGATTCATATGAAAAAAAATATATAATTTGAGTCCCTTTAGATGATAAAATAGTCTGATTTTAAGTTGTATTAAAACAATGTTCTTTCTCTTTCTAGGGTCTGTATCCAGAGTCCCACGGTATAGTTGGTAACTCCATGTACGACCCTGTGTTTGATGCCACTTTCACTCTGAGGAGCCGAGAGAAGCTCAATCATCGCTGGTGGGGAGGGCAGCCTGTGAGTACATTTGATAGGTATTGTTAATAGACTACTACCAAGTATTAATAATCAACTTTGTTATTTAAAGAGGATGTACTATATACTAACTTTATATACATCTCATTTGTCTAGAGATGTATTTAGAGTTATATGTGTATGTCACGTAATTGTTATTCTTGAGCATTAAAGGTGCCATTGGTGTAGGTGGGAATCAGTGCTGCAGTTTTCAGCCATTGTTTCATTTTATGTCATTTTTGATCAATATTGGGATTTAAAATGTTTAAACTATTAATTAAATATATAAACAGTCTAAAATATTGATCCACTCTTGTCAGATTATAACTATATTGCAGACAAAAGCATAATTTGTCTTTTTTAAAGGTCCTATGTTACACAAAATTGACTCTTGAGCTTTAAGCCATGTTAGATTGTTATCACCTCAAAAACATACTGGAGCTGTGTTTTGTTTCATCCACACATATTTGAGTAATCCTTTATTATTAGTCTGTCTTCATCCACAAAGCTCAAAATGCTCTGCTCCACCTTGTGATGTCATGAAGCTGTAGTTTTAAAGGTACCCATGGCAATTCTATGGCTGAAATTATCTAAATGATTCTAGTGATTAATATACAGTAAATAAATAATAACTACGTGGGGTTTGCTTGTTAAACGTGTGTGAATGAACACAACTATGCTTTTGATGAGGAAGCGACAATTATGCCAATTTTTATGTCGAGAGCAATGATTATAACCTACATCCAAAAAATTGAAAAATGGGCCCTTTAAATGTAATTGTATGTTCTTAAAGTTTGGGTTCATATTTAAACCAAGAAATTCTGGCTGGGCATCTATTTTCTGTAAACGTATCCCATAATACTCAATATTAATCATCTCTGGTGCTTAATATATTAGCGTGGGAACTGGGAACTTAAATAGAGCTTTTGCTGATTTACATTCGCTGTAACCAAAACGACTCATTTGGAGCTTGTCTTTCACCCAGTCCAGTCTTTTCCCACACACCCACACAAACCTGGTTTACTGTACTCCACAACCTCTCTGGCTTTCCCACACTTACAGTAATATTTGGTAGAATGAGAAGTTACAATTGTATATCTGTACGAGTTGTGTTTGATAAAGTTATTTTGTTTTGTTTTAGATCTGGATAACCGCGCTCAAGCAAGGAGTGAAGGCTGCGAGCTTCTTCTGGCCGGTGTAAGTCAGAGTTTCTTTCTTTGAGTTGCTGGAACTCCTACTGACAATATTTAAAATTAACCAAAATAATAGTGATTTACAAATACTATCAAATACGAAAACCACCTGCTCCATTTGACTCAATCCTGGGTATCCACTTCTCAAGCCAACTCACTTCATGCTCCCTTAACTGCATCCATAGTTCTTCTCTTCCAATATATAATACATTTTGAAATATGCTATATTATTAGAAAAAATAAAAAAGAAAAGATATAGATGACAATTGATAATATTGAATTGCCATTATGCCACTGACATGATAACCCTAAAGCAGGATTTTCCCCCTGCACACTATTAGAATGTTTCAATATTGATATTTTGACGTTCTACGTGTATCTTTAATGGAGGAATGTTTAGGAGTTACCATGGTGACACAAAGCACACATTGGCACACAATTTTGACCAGAAAAGAACTGATTTAGCTGGAACTGCAACAGGTAAGATGATTTGTGCTGTAAAACAAATCTCTCACATAGCATTAAAGTCACAAGCCAGGTAGCATCAGCCAACAGTTTTTCAGTTAGTCACACTCACCAACACCTACGCAGTGCACCTTTAGAATCTAATAAAACTTCAGACAGGGTAGAGCCTACAGTAAGCATCACACCCCCAAGGAATGAATATGTGCTATTCAGTCCACAGTTATGTCCAGCGCATTCTCCCATAAGGCCATGTTGTACCTATGGGCAGGTGTTTTCACTTACTTTTCCTTTGGGTCTTTGAGTCTGTGTGTGGCCAGCCTTGGATTGATGGACTTGCTTAGCTGGATCACTTAGTATCAAACAGTGTGCTCTTAGAATGAACGTAACTTTGGCCGATCAACAAGCGTAAGAGAAAACACCTGTCTCACATTGATATTTTTATTAAGAATTCTTACGTGTATTTGAGCTGTAGTAAATAAAATAAGTTTCTGCTCTGTTGAACATCTATAAAATCAAAATGCACAATTTCTAACTTGAAAAATGACCAGAATCCAGTGAAGTGACAACAATAATAATATTTTGTTCTGAAACTGTGTGACTGGACCACCCTGTTGTACAAACGCACAAACCTTGTACCTAGTTTAAATGATTATTAATCCAATCATCGGTAATCATAGGCTTACAGTGCTGCACTTATATTCTTTGTTTTGATTGGTGTGAAACGGCTGACTTTGGCATCTCTCTTTCGATTTTGGAGGAATTACCGGCAAAGAAACAAAAAGCTCTCAGTTTATCAACAAAACCCACGGGAGCGGTAGTTTACTGACATATGCTGCAATGGTGGGAATAAGATTAGGTCATATTTAGAGAGAGTCTGCGGTCATATAGTACAATTGCTTGATGGTAAAAGTACGTGAACAGAATATGTGACCACACTTTATCCTTCAGTTGCCTTATGCTTGGTTTTTAGATCTAATGTAAGCGCCTGCAGATGTGCCAATGACTCTTCTGAACACTTATTAGCATTTTGAGTTCATGGTTACAAGAAAATGCAATTAACATATGTAAAATATAGTATAAAAGTATAGACAAGACATCATGATTGAAGTATGTTGTTGTTTCAGTAGACTAAAACATGGTTTAAGCTCTGCTGGATAGAATTATTGTGGCATAATTCATATGCAACCATAGAATGGTCACAGTTGCTCCTCTCTCTGTAACTGATGCTGTCAGGCTCCTCATTTTGATCTTAAAATGTTCATATTAACCTGCTCTACATGATCCTGGTGTTTTCATTTCACTATTAAGTAAATAAATTCCTATTCCTAATATGGAACCGGGTCCAAATTACTCATGTCAGCTTCATTTGACCAAAACAGCCAAACACTAAAAGTGGCATCACACTCCCTTAGTCCACTTCTTTTTCAGTCTATATCTGCACACAGGTTAGGTTCTTAAGATGTATTTTTCATTTGGAGAGTCACAACTGAAACTAACTTTTTTGAATAGTTTATTTGTATTTGAAATTTGTTATAACTTACTTGTATATGGAGATGAGATCAGCCCAATGGATTAACTCAGATTTTTAAAAGGATGTAAATGTAAAATTGCACAAATGAAATAAAATTTACTTAATATCATACCTTGGCACCATAAACACTTGGTCACATATAATATAATGTGCTAATGCTACAATTTATTCACCACATGAGTGCACAAACAAAGCTCTCTACCTGGCTGTAAATCGTCTGGTGTGGAAAGTTTTACAGTAGAACAAGTCCGATCATGTTCCCACGGAAACCTCTGGCCCCATCTGACACAGAGCACCCACATTTATCAGCAGCAGGGGCAAGAGCAGCAGCACAGAGGGTCTTTCTTTGATGGAGCCTGCTTCAGTTGTGTGCTGAGCGGCAGCGTGTGGCGTAGTGTTTTCTCTGCAGTTGGGCCTGTTTACTCTCCCCTGGACTCCAGTGTGAACTGGGGTCGCAGACGTGCCACTGCATTCAGCCTAAGTGCGGTTTGCTCTGCTTACCGTGCACTGGGCACCATGAGATAACATGTAAAGAGGTCTGAGGGGCAAATATGGCTGCTGTGAAAAGACTTCTGAAGGTACTTTTTATAGTTAGTTTGAGCTGATACCAATAGGTTGGGTTAAAGCCCCCATAGTTACGTCTCTAACAGTATGTCCCTTTTCACAGAGTACAGTTCTGGCCGATTTGATGATTTGTTTGACCATCTGATGTTTTTTGATCATGTGTTCAATCAGGTGATCTACTTAAAAATAATTATTTTCTCACCAGTTGATGAAGACAGATTTTATTTGAAACACGTTGGCATTGAATAATTCAAGCAACTACCAGACGAAAGATTTTTAATGCTCACTTTATTGTTGAAGAGCATCTGGTACCTGCACGATAACTACGATTCAGAAGGCACACCCAGCGCCCTTTCATCTCACAGTATTTCCCTTTCACTGTCAAACTGCAGATCTTTTTCAACTGGTTCTTTTTAGTCCCCAAAACGAACAGAGGTGACTTTTTTCACTTTGATAATAAAAAGTCATAGCATTATTCCACATAGGCAAATACAGAGTTGAAAGGACTGTAAACCACATTATTCTGCACACAAAAATATGTCAACATTTGTGGATTTTCAGTTTGTTCTTTCAAACTGCAAATTTCCTGTAATATAGCCTCCTGCTCTAAAATTATGACATCAAACCTTCAGCTACTTTTGATGCACCCATTTAATTAAGGTCCCATTGCATCGTCTGATCTTTTGGCCTAGTAATCTAGTTCAAACTTTTTTTTTATTGTGATCTTCAGTCTGTCACAATAATTACTATATCAACTTATTGTTCAATATATGAAAGCTGGAACAAGATATTTTGGGACTCAGTATTTGTCATGTGTACAACTTGGAAATATTGGAGCGGTTTTAGTCAGTTTAGAGGGCAGAATAACCATCATTTACAGAATATGACTATCCTGTTGTGTGTCAGTGGCATAAAATAGTTTCAGTAGTATTGTTTATTACAATATTCCTGCTTCAAAATGTGTTATCATGACAGGCCCAGCATGAAGGTGATCTAAAACAGACCATCTGCCCAGTTTGTGAACATTTTGGTCTAATCAAATTGAACAACTCACAAATTGGAGAAAGTTGAAAATGAGTTAAATGATGCATAAAGTGTGAACATGGACATAAGCAGTGTGCCGACATGGACCCACACCCCAACTCCTCGACTCCCACTGCCTCCCCGCGGGGCCTCGCTGCTGGGTCTGATGGTTGACAGCTGTGGGCCCAGTGACAGCCAGCAGCGTGGTTGGTGGCCGGATCATAACAGCAGTGCACAAGCAGCCTTTTGACGCCAAAGGACTTAAAAACCATGAGAGGGCTTTAACGTCTTTAAACCTGTTACTACTGTACACACAATTCCACTTTACAAGGCTCATAAAAATCAATTTGGTTAATGACCCCCTAATTTGTGAATAGGTAAGACTGCTTCTCAAAGTGTTGTGCGTGGGATTCTTCAAGTGCATTTTGTAGTTAGACAGAGATGGTCTAGTCTGGTATTGAAAATGTTGCTGATATTTGCCAATGATATTTTTGCACATCACTCAACAAAAATGAAGAAGAATCACAGTTAGGCTAAAATATGGTTGTATACACTATCATGCAACAAATTATTTAATATCCCATTCCCAGATGTTAATATTTGTACAACAGCAAAAAAGTAATTTGTGAACTTTTGTATAACTTAGCATAAATTTGTGGATTCAGAATCATAATATTTGTATTGGCACATATCAACCAGAAAAAAATTCACATCAGACCATCCCTTCTTCTAGTCTAGTCTAGTTTTTATTTGGATGTGATACTGGTTTAGACCGGGTTTAGTCCTACTGTTACTTAGAAAACTGAATGTTTACGATTCTTCTAGGTTAGACAGTTAGACAGTTATATGAACATGGTTGGCTCACTTGATATTTGCTGTGTTTCCAGGGGCATCCCGCTGGAGAGGAGGATTCTGACCATGCTGCAGTGGCTCCACCTCCCTGATGGGGAAAGGTAAACTCACTTCTCTCACATAGACTGCGTGACTCACTGCATTAAAAATGTTCCTACATTGGGTATGAATTATTTACCATAGTAGATTTGTACATACATTATATATAATACAGTTAAATATATACATGAAAATAATCACTCTCATAGAAAATAAACTGAATAAAATGACCTTGTTTTCTTCTGTTTTCATGTTTTAGGCCGTATGTTTACGCCATGCACTCTGAGCAGCCTGACACGTACGGACACAAAATGGGGCCATTGAGTGCTGATGTGGGTATCACATTTTACACTTAAAAATGTTTGGTAATCTTACTATATATAAATATTGTTACTCTTTTTTTGCAAAGAGTACTCTGGCATTATATTATGTTTTTGTCTTTATTTCAGTTGAGTAACCCTCTGAGAATGATTGACCGAGTTGTGGGTCAGCTCATGAATGGGCTCAAACAGATGAAACTGCATCGCTGCGTCAACATCATCCTGGTGGGAGACCATGGTACAGAGTTACTAACTGTGTCTTATCTGAAAAGAATACACATTTTGGTCTGTCTAGTCTAGTGCTCTGCTGATTCGGTAAATGTGACTGGATAGTGACATTCCCCCTAACTAAATGTTAAACTGTACATCTTTTTGTGATTATTTGCTCATTGCTACTTATTCATTTAGAAAAGAAATGTTGAAGTTCCAAGGATATTTTTTTCCTCTGATTGTTTTATAATCTATCTCTGCATAAGTTTTTCTTTCTCTCCCTACGTGTACTCAGGTATGGAGGAAGCCCACTGCGATCGCACAGAGTTCCTAAGTAATTACATGAATCACGTGGATGACATCATTCTCATCCCGGGGTCTTTGGGCCGTATACGCTCCAGACATCCCAACAATGTCAAGTGTAAGAACCCTCTTTTGACAATATCATATGAACATTTGTATCTTATTTTTCATCTCCATTAATTCAGTACTTCTACTGTTAATTAATTCTGTGCTTTACATATTTAACTTTTTTGAACCCATTAACCTTCAGCTTAACTTTATATATTCTCACTTTTTGTTCTGTTCTTTCTTTGACTGTACAAAAATTTACATTTCATAGTTTTTTATGCATTGAGCTTGTGACTATAGAGTTATGCAGTGTAGTACCTATATACTATACTACTACCTACTACTAGTGTTAGTACCACTAGTGCTCCTGACCAAAATAGCTCAAGATTTCAAGGAGTGTCACTGGGCCAAATTAGCAATATTCAATAACCTGACAAGCCAGAACACACTTTGACAAAACTTTACAAAGACGAGTGGATCTAGAACTGTACCTGTCTCCCTGATTTCAGAGGGTGGGACTGACAGATGGATTAACCAATCAGAGAGAGCATGGTCCGTTTGCATAAACACAAACATGGCAGTTTAAACTTAAAAAGGGGAAAAAACAACAGCAACAATACAGAGGACTGAGAAACAATACGGATTTTAAAAAATTTAATTAAATAAATTTATTTAATTTTATTTATTTTTTCCTGAATGTTATATGAATTTTGGAGAGATGTCTTCCACATTTGAGAAACATGCGATACAAATTAGCAGCTATAGTTGGACTCTCTCTTAAGTTATGAAGGTTTTTCATGCTCTTTCGTCCGGTTCCTGTCCCTTCTGGATTCAGACAGAATGTAAAAGGGACTGGCTGGTCTGACGAAATATGCAAGCCATTTTTGTTAATCCTTTTTGTTTTTCTGCAGATGACCCCAAGGCAATTGTGGCAAATCTAACCGTGAGTTTAATGCTTTAATCTAGTTCCCATCCTATTATATTCTTCTACCCATTTGAATCCTAAGTCCTGCATCCTAAGTGCATTTGCTTTTTTGCAGTGTAAGAAGGCCGAGCAGCACTTTAAGCCTTACTTAAAGCAGCACCTGCCTAAGAGACTGCACTACGCCAACAACCGCCGCATAGAAGACATTCATCTGCTGGTGGACAGGAAGTGGCATGTGGCCAGGTACCGAGCCAAAACTATGCATGTACAGTATATGTGTGTATGTATGTGCGGTATTGTGGACCCCAGGGTAAGGCATTAAGAAGGAATGTTATGGAAGGCCCACTATTCGCTCGGCTTGAAAGAATGTGCCCATATGGGATTCTGGCTTTGTTCGCTCTAATACATTTTAATATAATTTTAAAGATCCATTTTTATACTAGAAATGTTTTTATGCCAAAACAGACACTTATACTACGACAAGGTTTGGAGAAGCACAGATATGATACTGGTGTATAACAGTGGTATTGCACATCGGCGCCGATAGTGAACACTGGGATGAATGGGGTATCGAGTCAGTCGATATTGGTTCAGTCGACTCATTTTGGTCTATACATTGGTGTAATTAGATGATATACTGGTCAGTACGAGGTCAAACACCTATTGTTGAACTTGTATATTTTTTTTAACTGTTCCTTAGTTAGAAGGAAACACTTGAGTCTGCTGCTTTAGACTGAGAGAGAAGTTAAAATAACATTTGACCTAATGCAATCTAAAAATGCTATCAATTCAGCTAAATATAGGATTTGGTCAAAATGTACTGCTGGCTTCCACACGTGATGTTGTGAAATCTTTGCCCTAAATCTTTCCCAACACTCGTGCTGAAGTGTAAATGAGATGCTAACATTAGCGCTGACAGCTGTTTGATGTAGAGCAGTCAGAGGTCCTCAGCAGTGATTCAGTGACAAAGTAAACCATGAAGTCACCTGGACTCACAGTCAAAACAAACCTACTCCACTAACCATGTAGCTACACATGGCTTTAGCTGTTCAAGCCATGGGAGAGCTACAATCGCCAGTCTCTCAAGTTCACAAACATGTAGGCCTCAAAATGAAAGGCATCTTTGAGTGCGCTTTTCTGATGGACAGACTGGATAATTGTTGGCACCAGAGCTGTAAGAGGTGTCAAAATTTGCGCTGTATCTTGCTTTTACATTAGGCTAGTGGACAGTGAAATAAAACACTTTAGTTGGAGCAGCTAATTTACATTTTTAACATGCTTGCGGGTTGGCCCCCTGCACGTGCGTACACTCACACAGTGCAGACAGAGGGGCACACATCCACAAGTATCAGTGGAAGTAGTGTCTGAATGGACACTTAATAAAAAGTGGCTGTTTTTCAATTAGTTCTCAGTGGCTGAAGGAGAGTGAAGGAGCGGGTTGTCCACTAGCTGTAGAGTAAACACAGACAGAATCCTCCACTTCACTTTATCTGGAGTTTAGAGGGCCAACTGTCCACTCAGGGCGGAGGCTGTGATGCAATAAGAATCATTCAGATATCTCTGCGTGAAATTTGTGTAGTGGATTGAACTTGCTTAACTGTAGCTGTTAATTAAATTACATGTTTTGGATCAGACATGAAGGTGCCCTGACCCATTTGCAGTTCCAGACAGAATACTATGACTATTTGTTGAATATGCCTTCATACCATGTCTTTACAGGAGAGCCCCAGAAGTGAAGCGCCACTGTGGTTTCTTTGGTGATCATGGATACAACAAGATCAACAGTATGCAGGTACTGAGTGTTCTTAAGTCTTCAGTTTATCAATATTGAAGTTACTTGTTAATTATAGTAATTATTTATACAATTATTTGCTTTTTAGACAATTTTTTTGGGATATGGACCCACATTTAAATTCAGAACTAAAGTCCCAGTTTTTGAAAACATTGAGCTTTACAACGTCATGTGTGGTAAGTGTACCACTCTTTTGGTTTGTGGTTTGTTGATATAGAGCTTGGGAACAAATGTCAAAAACTGTATATTTATGGATGTTTACATCCATAGAGATACATTATCAAAAACAATGTGAAAAAATAAACAAAAGAGCTGTACAACAACATAATAAGCTGCTGAGTTACTACTGTTACCACAGTGTTGGTAGGGTGACCAGATTTTCAAAATAAAAAACTGGGACATCCCTGACTTGTGGTCGTTGGTAATAATAAAACTGTGAAACGAGTGCATAATTAAGGAAAATTGTTCTGCACTAATGTGAGTCAGTATAGTCTTTGTGTTTTGGTCATTTTTAAACAGCTTTTCTGTATTTTACATGTATGCTCCTCTTTACTGTTGGCAGGGATCAGATTGGTTAAAAAAATGGACATCTGTGACATTTCTTGTTTAAAACTTGGACAAATCAATGGTTTTAAATAAATCCACAGGGACAGGGGACACAGGGCTCAAAATTGGGACTGTCCTGGGTAAATAGAGACTTCTGGTCATCCTAAGTGTTAGAGTACTTTTGAATGGACGCTAAGTTTAGTTTAGCATCTTAAAATCTCCATTGTTCTAACTGCAAATTATATATGGTGAGCTATATAAGATTTCTAAGTGTACAGGAACAGCGCTATTTGGGTGCCTTTGTGGTTGTTTCTGTTTAGTTTAGTCCACAAAGACAACAAGCATTGCACCAGATTAAAACCAAGCAACACATTTCTATTCTATCTTTAACTCCAATGTTCTTTTCTACATTTTCATTTCTTTCACGTATTGCTCTTCCTCAGATTTACTAGGACTAAAGCCTGCCCCAAACAACGGCACCCATGGCAGCCTGAACCACCTGCTTCGGAGCCCCCCATTCAGGCCCCTGGTCCCGGAGGAGGTGTCTCGGCCCACTGCCTCTGGTCTGGTTCTGGGGGGGACAGACGATTTGGGCTGCAACTGCGACGAAAAGGTCAGCCCTGAAGACCGGCCGTCCAGGGAGCACCTGTCCCATACACATACACTAGTTTCTGCTAATGCTCATGAGGACATTATAGAGAAACTAAAGGTATCTGTGTGTCCCTGGTTTATTTCCACTCAACTTTAACTAAGAACTATAAGAGATAGGATTTCTGATTTTTATTAATACAGCATTTAAACAAGGGTGAAACGTTTAACAGGAAAATTATTTGGATGAAGTCTTGTGTTCAAAGATTATTTTTGGTGGTTGGTTTACAATTTCAGTTAGTTCCAGCTATAGGCATTGTTATATTATACATGCAGTGTGTTGTTAGCCATTGTTGATAACAGCGCTGTGGTAAAGTTTAATGTTTTACTGGTAGTAGTAGTAGTAGTAGTATTAGTATAGTGTGTGATGGTGGTGAAAGTTAGCTGTCATCTAGTCTGTCTGAAAAATGCTTTTTGATTTTGTACTGTGTCTGGCTGCTTCAATTTTGCTACAAATGTTGTTGAAATGTCTAGTCAGCATATTCTCCAGCAGCTTCCTGTATAAGTCCAGTTCGCCCTGGTCTCAGTACAGCGCCCTCTACAGTAATTACAGTCAAATGGGATTTATTTGACACCTGTCAGAGCCCCTTAGGAACAAAGACACAGCAGTATAACAGAGCTGTGCTAGTTCTGGATGTGAGCCAGTTCTGCACACTGCTCCTCTGTACACGGCTCTAACATGTGGTTCTGCTTTCACCCTTTAAGAACTCATGAGGGGGTAGCAGGGTATTAAGCATCAGGTTTAGTTTGGCTTTTGACAGAATTTATTTTACTGCACACAATATACTCAGAGTATAGTCAGAACAGCCCTGTTTAATTTGAAAGTGGGTAAAAGCATGTATTCCTTACATTCTTTTGGATTAGAATGAGTGAGACACACTCACATTATCAATAACAGCTTATTGCTTGGGTGTATTGTCCGTGTTTCATTGCAAATGAAAATGGAGCACCCTTGTAATGAACAGCCACTGTTTTGTGACCTAGTCAGAACTTCACTTAAAGTGAATGGATCTAAGTTTATTGGCTTGCTTCATTCAGTCTTCTATGCACACAAAAGCTTTGGCATGTCTTTGCTTTCTGCTGGAGTCTATTCACCTTTAACATAATCATATCAATAAGTTTCCAATACCTGTTGTCAAATTGTAATATTTGTCAACAGTTTTATTTACTGTCTGTTTATTTTCAATTGCAAAAAGTGAATAGACCTCAGCTTTGCTGTGCCATGTTTTGTTGATACATCTTGAATGTATTTCTGATTCCCATGTGGATCTCTGGCAAGAGATTGTTTGAATCTTCAATCTCTTTGCAGTTGCGTGTAAAAAGTAGAGGCCAGAGAGGTTTGAAAGTGACCCTTGTACGAGGCTATAACCTGGAGTCACTCTGGCTCTGTCTCTTACAGAACAAAGTGGAGGAGCTAAACCAACGCCTGCGGCAAGCTATGGACGGTCAGTCTCCTCTCTGCTGTAGATAGAAATATATAAACTACACTCTGAGTCAGTACAAAAGTCACCCAACCATTATGTTTTACTGTGTCCTACCTTGAGCTCTGCTGATACTGAGCCAATAGGAAATGCTCCTTAACTGTTTTTTGTGTGTGGATTTCAGACAGCAGAAATCTTCCCTTTGGTCGCCCTGCAGTTCTGTATCGAACCAAGTACTCCATCCTCCATCACAGTGACTACATCAGCGGATACAGCGAGTTCTTGTCTATGCCTCTTTGGACTTCATACACTGTTAGCAAACAGGTTAGTTGCCGTGTTTTTCAAACAAATAACTAAGATTCCTTTAAAAACACAATGCAACCCTGTGATACAGGATAATGGATTTTAATCATGATCCTTACACTTTGGTGATGTGTAATGCCCTCTACTGGCAAAAGTGTCATGCATTATAAATTGTTTATTGTTAGCATAAATATGCAAAAACAAACAGCTCAATTTAAAGTGCATTTTTCATTCTCAATGACTCCTGATTCTCCAGGTCGAGTTATACCCCCTCCCTGATGCCTTATCCAACTGTGTGCGGCCTGATACGAGGGTCCCCCCGGCCTACAGCCAGTCCTGCACCAACTACAGAGCAGACAAACAAATCACGTACGCCTTTGTCTATCCACCACGTAAGTCCATTAAAATTATGGAAATATGTTTACATAACTTCTGAATCTGTAATTTATAATTTTCTCCACAGAATTATCTTTACACATGGAGAAGAAATATGATGCAGTCCTCATCACTAACACTGTACCAATGTATCCTGCGTTTAAAAGTAAGTTACTCTTAACTGTTGTAGGATTAAAAATGACTGCATTACACCCTCGTCAATATGCGGTTTTGGGTAAATTATGTGTTGTTGATTCTTCTTCCAGGGATATGGAGTTACTTCCAGAGAGCGTTGGTGAAGAAGTTTGCCACTGAGAGAAATGGTGTCAACGTTCTCATTGGTCCAATATTTGATTATGACTTTGATGGGGTCAGGGACTCAACTGAAAGAATTAAAGAGTAAGAACTTTTTCATAGAAGCAAATCTATGCAGCTAATCCTAACTGTACAACGTTACTACTCTGTTTATTGCATATGTTCCTTTGCAGTTTGAATGACAGTGGAAGTGATGGGGTTATTGTTTGTTTATTTTGTGATTCAGGTTTATGACTGGAACAATCCCAGTGCCCACACATTACTTTATCGTGCTGAGCAGCTGTCTGGACTTCACGCAGCCTGCAGACTCCTGCACTGGTCCACTGAGCAGCGCTGCCTTCATCCTGCCACACAGGGCCAGCAACGATGAGACCTGCAATGTGAGTAATGGCCATTTAACATACTGTATTTTCCCCATGTAAATCTGAAGGAAATACTTCCTAATTACATGATAATCGAAATCTGATCATTAGTCACTGCTGTAAAGATTTTAATGTCAGTAAGTCAATTGCTCTTTCCAACTATACTATATATTTTTGGTTATTTCTAACAAAATAAATACAATTTAATAACTTTGAATAAATGTTCTCATTGTTAAAATATATACATATGAACATTTTGTGACTGTACTATTTTTTGGTCCATGTTATCACTGGTGTAAAGCTGGTTTGTATGGCTGTCACTTGATGCTTTTGCATACATAAATTTGCCAGCTCCTTGGGCACTTCCTAAAACTGGTTTAAGGAAATCTCCAAATCTTGATCTAGGCTTGCTAAGGACTACTTTAGATGGGTCCCCAGCCTCTGCAATAAAGTCACCCACTGCTTCTAGATGCAAAGGACTATTTACCCCACAGGGTCCAAAAGGACACCTTATACTTTAAACTTAATAAGAGTTAATGTAACTCTTTCCTTTCCCTGAAGAGCTCTGAGGAGGAGTCCCGGTGGGTGGAGGACCTGATGAAGATGCACACAGCTCGGGTCAGGGACGTGGAGCTCCTCACTGGTCTGGACTTGTACCGACGGACTAACCGACCGTACACTGAGATCCTCTCCCTCAAGACTTATATGCACACGTATGAGAGCGAAATCTAGTCCAGTCACAGTGTCTTTTGTCTTTACCGTGGTGGATTTATGTGGTACTAAAGAGGTGGTTTCATCTCCAACACACTGACTTTAAATGAATTTGCCCAACTGGGAACTTGAATTGTCCATGTGACGTGTTTTTAAATGTACTTTGTCATATTTGCTTCTTGGATACAATTTTAAAGACCACTAAACTACAGCATCACTCACTTTACTTACTGTCCATTAATGTCCATAAAATGTTTATGATCATTGCAAATTGCACTCATTTTAGTCAAGTCTTCTAATTAACAACAATTGAGCCTCTAGCTGCACATAACTGAATGCATTGTTGCTCCTTTGTACATAAAAAACATGGATATAGAAATAATATCTAATACATATTTTTATGCTATATTCTTACATGGGCTGTACTGTAAATACCAGAGATGCTTGTATTCCTGAAAAAATCCATATTGTTTATTTCGTCTTTCAACATGTGAAGTTTTTTAAGCTAAAAAATATAATTGAATATTTCTACCTATCTTTTTTATTCTCATAGTAGCTTACATACATGGTAATGACAATTAAAATTGCACTAAAAGGTAATGACATCATATCATTTTGTTTGCCAGTCTATATTACCCACTACCAGTGAGATGGTATGTTCAATGTGTAAAATATATTGTAATTGTGTGTGTGTTTGCGAATGAGTGATGTTTTGAGATTTTTTTGAATGTTTTGTGAATGATTTCTTGAATTTTTGTGCACCTGAGCAATAATGATAATAAATTTACCACCTGTGAGACTTTATTTATGCTTCATGTACATGTCATTACAATAAAGAAGTGTTTTCTTACAACTGTGTTTGACTTCTAAATAATGACTCCACATATCTAATATTAATCTACTGTAGGATTTTTTTGGTCATCCTTTTTTACATAATTATATGACACAATATAAGCTCAGAGCACTCTAGCTGCTTAGAATCTCATTGTAAAGTGATTTAAATCCTACAGTATCTTGTCTAATCATTTCTATTCTAATTTTAAAGATATTCCTAATATTAGTATAGGATTATTCTTTTGTCATCTAATTTTTACATATGTCATATGTATTTCAACAGTCAATCCTCCATCAGCTTTTCTGTTCTATTTTTAAAGCTATTCCTTTTACTAACACCAGAGAGCAGTATTTGTTTAGTCAAATGTAGAATAACTTATAAGATACGCCCAAAAGTGTAACAATAGGCCTATTTATTGTCATTAAATTAATTTGCTAAAACACGAAGCTATTTATTTATTAAGTCTTGGTATTAGAAATATTAGAGTGTCTGTTTGGCAAATACTGTGCTGTTTTTTGTGACGAAGCAGATTGGTAAATTTAGGAGCAGAGCTGACGTCACCACGCTGTTTACTTTCACTTCCTACTGAAACAGCGATCCCGCTAGAGCAGGAGTGCGCGTGAGGACGAGTCAGCGAGTACAGGTATTGACTTTTGACGCGGGGACAATGGTAAGATTAACTTCTGTGTGTTTGACAGTATAAAACTAATCTTGTCTTTAGTCTGAGTTTCCGAGTTTGATAACTGAACAAATACAGCTGAGCGATACTAAACAAACATGATGACAAAACTGGGATCATAACAGCTGGCAGTGTGTGTAGTCTACAGATTTATTACACACGGCTCCACTGGGCCTAAAAGAATCTCAGTTGTGAATTATAAGGTGGATCTTAAGTGAAATTTAGCAGGAGATGGCGTGATTATTATATCGTCTATTTTGTTACTTTGTAGTCAACCAGTGCATCCCAATGGCTTCTTGACACAAAACTATCCGGTCAGATCAGATATTATAGGCTACTATTCATTAAACCAGGACGAACCACGTCCACGTTACGACTCATTAACTACTTGAATGTAATTACTGGGTGTGTGTCTCTCAAGCCACATGCATGCTCATGGACCATTGCTTATTATTGCTAGCTGTACAAACAGTAAATAGTGTAAATCACATATCTAGCCTACATAATTAACCTTATTTCCTCATGTCTCTCTGTTGTCAGTTTTGGATTTTATTTGTGTCCAGATACACAACTTTTTTTTTACCCCCCCCCCCCTCAAAATTTCCCAAAACATGACAAAGAATTTTGTTGGCTTCCTTCTGTGTACTACATTACATCTCAGAGTTGTGTTGTTGACTCAGATCTGACTCACCGCAAACATGGGTCAACTTGGAGAGGAGAAGCCGTCTTGCCGCAGCCTCCTGACCTACCACCGGGAGACGCTGGTCTCCAAACTCAGGAGTATCCAGTGTGTTCTGGACAATCTGCTCAGCTCAGAATTCCTTTGTGAAGAAGAAGTTGAGGCCGTACAGCTCACAGACACCAAACCCAACCAGGTACAAAGTGAAAGACCAAAGCAGAGGGCTGACTAGAATTTTATCACATGCCTAGATTATGTTCTGTGAAAGTGACTGGACCAGTGCAAGGCAAGAGTGTGTGCATTAGAAAGAAAACTGGTTTGCAACAAGTGTCAAGCATATAACTAGTGTTCAACGTTACACCTCAAAATTGAATCTTAAAGCCTTGTTCTTGGTTAATAACAATAATATCAAGTCAAGTCAGGGTTCGAACTAGCATCAAAATAAACACTCCCTGTTCATGTATCAATACTAGGCAAAAAGGTTCAAAGGTCTTTTATTAATCTTTCCTTAGTAGTTCTAGGTTGGTATTGATCTGTATCAGAACCAGCAAAAGAACAGATGGTACTATTAGAAAAATCTATAATCACTTTTTGTTGAAAATTAAATTTGTTGTATATGTAGTTGTGTATTGTATTATGACAACATTAGTGTGCTTCAAGTATTTTATGTTTGGTTTTTTTTGTTGTTTTTTTTACAAAATATATACAAAATAAAAGACTAAAAGTGAAAAAAATTACTAAGAAAATTCAATCATTCATAATTATTGCAATCGTTCAAATTATTACTGTTATGACTATATAGACTCATTATTTGTTTAATCAAAAATGATATTTTACCACTTTATTTTCATGATAGTGAGTGTCATTTTCTTGTTTTTCTGCAGTATGTTAGCATATGAGAGTCTAGTCTAGGTTGTTGAATTGATGAGCCTAATCATGTAGTCATGTATTTTCTTGTGCAGGTGCGTAAACTCCTGGAGCTGGTGCAGTGCAAGGGGGAGCAGGCCTGTGACTATTTCATCAACATCATTTACACAGTGGGAGATGCCTACATCGACCTGCAGCCATGGCTCAAAGAAATCAACTATGTCCCCAGTAAAGATGTGTCTGTTCTGAGAGTCGAGAATACAGACCCCAGTGAGTAGCTCCAGTCACATCTGGATTAGACCTGTCACAATAATAACTATATGCACTAATAGCTCAGTATATGAAATAATATTATTTTTACACTGCCAGTCAGAAGTTTAAACATACCATCTCATTCAATGTTTTTTTCTTACTACTTTCTACAGTTTACACACAGAAGGCATCATATGTAGGATGCAAGGAACTATTTAGTAAAGAAAAAACGTTAAGTAACTCTACTCAGTTTTTTGACAAAGAAAAAGGTGGATAAACTGATGATTTTCTTTGCTACTTAATCCCATACCTTTTACTTGATATGTATGTCTTCTGTATGTATAATAAATGTGGAAAGTAGTAAACATATATATTAAAAAAAAATTTAATTAATGAGAGGCTGAGTCCAAACTTTTAACTGGCAGTGACTATTCACATTTTCAAATATATATCAAAATCGGCCAAAGGTAGAAAAAAGTGGTGAACTGACAAAGGTTGAGTTGAGGTTGAGGAGTGAAAGCTGTCTTATGTTGTCTTATTGAATTATAAATAAGAAACTGCAGGTCTGATCTATCTGTGTATAGTAAACATTGGGCTGGGAACCTTTTAGTATTAGTAATATTTTTTTGGTTTGTTTTTCTATACTGCTATATTTTAAATGGAACTCAAGCCCAGTAAGCAACAATGTATTATTTTTTAGTTATACTGATTAAGCCCAGAATGGTGATTTACTGCTGATGAACAATTTAACACCCCTAGTAATTACCATATTGTAACTGTTTTGAATATTTGATCTTATTCAGTCAGCAGATACAGCGGCAAACAGAGGAGAGAGATTGGCCGTGACACCAGCTTCATCATGTCATACGGTCAAAGGGAAGAAACTCGCCTGGAGGAGCTCTACACAGACACCCAAATGGAACTATTTAACGACACCAATGAGAGCCTGGGGTTTTTAGATGCTTTAGATCAACTCCTCACCGACCACGCCGTCTTCAATCCCGAAGGAGAAACCATCTATGTAGTCGGTGACGCTGGTGTGGGCAAATCCATTCTTCTCCAAAAGCTGCAAAACCTGTGGTCGAAGAAGGAGCTAGTTACAGATGCCATTTTCTTGTTTAAGTTTCGATGTAGGATGTTTAGCACTTTTAAAGACTCTGAACAGATCTCCCTTAGAGACTTGTTGTTCAAATACAACTGCTACCCCGATGTTGACCCAGACAATGAGGTGTTTGACTATATTATACGGTTCCCTCATAAAGTCCTCTTCACTTTTGATGGATATGATGAAATTCAAGATGATCTGGACCGTTATTCTGTTCCAGAAGTGGCCTCCCCAGATGAAAGAGCCCACCCATTGCAACTGCTTACAAGTTTACTCTCTGGCAGACTACTTCAAGGCTCCCAGAAGGTACTCACAGCAAGAACAGGTATCGAAATGCAACAGAAAGTAGTCAAAAAGAAAGTCATTTTACGCGGATTCTCGCCATTGCACCTCAAAACCTACATTCAACTTCATTTTAAGGACCAAAACCAAAAAGAGCGTGTTGAAACCCAGTTAGACGCTAGCCCTCATCTGTGCGGTCTTTGCTCCACGCCGCTCTTTTGCTGGATTGTTTTCAAAAGCTTTACACATCTGCACACCATGCACGATAGCTTTGAGCTACCAGATTCTTGCGTAACACTGACGGACATCTTTCTCCTTTTATGCGAGATGTTTCTGACCCGTTCAGCTCCGCCGCCTTCGTCCATTCAAAGACGAAATGTTCGTTGCGCAGCCGAAACTTTCATATCAGGGCTAAAACCACTTGCAGGATTTGCCAAACTAGCTCTACAAGGGTTTGATAAAGGCAGTTTCTATTTTAGCCAGGAGGAGTTGAGGGCTTGTGGGTTAACCGAGGAAGATGAGGCATTGGGGTTTCTACGATCTGTTAGTGAATATGAAAATACAGAAAATCCAGCAACTTTTGAGTTCCTGCATTTGACTTTACAATCTTTCCTTGCTGCGTTTGGACTAGTTTGCGATATAGATGCGTCCCTAAACACTATTTTAAAATTCTTCGCAGAGTGTAGCAGGAAGAAAAAATCATCATGCCTTCCTTGTGACTTTTTTCATAATCTTTCCCCAAAGCCAAAAGATATCAAAGGATCCCCCACAAATGACCATCTACAGTTCACAAATTTATTCCTGTGCGGTTTGCTGTCAAAATCAAAAACTAGCCTCATGGAGCAACTTGTACCTCCAAAAATGTTAAAGAAAAAGCAAGCTCTTCTCAAATCCTACCTGTCAACTAGTGTTAAGTCTCATATTCACGGATTACCTGTTCATGAGACTGATGAAGGGAAGAAAGTTCACGTTTTGCCCAACTTTTTGTGGATGCTGAGGTGCATATATGAGACAGGGAGTAAAGACATAGCTAAAATGACAGCCAAAGGTATCACAGCTGGGTTTATCAAGCTGGGGTATTGTAACGTTTATTCAGGAGACTGTACAGCTCTGAACTTTGTGTTGCAACATCGACGCAAGCTGCTCGGTTTGGACATGGACAATAATAACATCAGTGACTATGGGGTGAAGCAACTCCAACCGTCTCTGTCTAAGATGACTATAGTTAGGTAACAAAGCAGCCTTCTTCTTTTTACTGATATTTTGTTTTGCTTTTGCCTAACAAGATGTTTCTTTCAGATTTTGTGTTAATAATCTATCAGACAGCAGCATTGAGGTGCTCGCAGAGGAGCTGTGCAAGCACAAACTTGTGGAAGTGTTGGGGTGAGTGTTTCTTTAAAAAATTGTAAGTTTGGAGTTCTTGGTCAGTATCTTTATTAAGGTTGTCAGAAGTATGTCTCTGTAACCACTCAGTTGTCCAAGTAGGATCCAAAGCAAAAACATTTCAGTTCTGTCAAGTGGACGAAAGGTTTTTAAGTGAAGACTTTTCAAAGGTCATCCAAGCTGCTTCTTCAGTTCTGGTCAAATTGCCAGTAGAAGTAGCCTTATATCTGACTGAAGGGAGGTGCTAACTACACTAACTACTACTTTAACTACAACTATAGATCCTAGCTAACGAACAGAAACCGTAAACATGTAGGTGTGTTAGTTTCAGTGTCATTTCAGTGTGGATACCTGCACCCTTCAGTCAGATATAAGGCAGCGACAGAAATCTGACTAGAACTGAAGAAGCTGCTTGGATGAGCTGGGAAATGTCTTTTCCAGTTGACAGAATTTGATTTCTCTTTTGCTATGATGTCAAAAGTATTGAAAATCAAATACTAATAATCATGAGCTGTATTAGAACAAATATAAGAGCACATATACTGATTACACAGAGTTAAAATAAAAGTAAGTACTATTATTTAATGTTGAAAATGACATTCTGCTGTTCTACTGTGAGTGTTATTGCTCTTGGTGGTATTACTGTTGAGTATCAAGTCTTTTTTGTATCTTACTTTAGACTGTATAACAATAACATAACTGATGCTGGGGCAAAACGTGTGGCCAGAATAATTGAGGAATGCCCCAAGCTGCGGACTGTTAAGTAAGTGAAATTTCCTTCAAAGTTTTTATCGTTTTTATAGTCTGTAAAACTGTCCTTGTGTTTTTGTTAGAGCTGGTAAAAACAAGATCACACCAGTGGGGGCGAGATATTTGGCTGATGCAATAAAGAAAAGTACATCCATATTTGATGTGGGGTAAGTCATCATTATTTTGTGCTATAACCAGGCCTAGGTATTTGAAGGAGATGAAAGGACGTCTAGCACAAAATCTTTGCCTTGCACTGTACTGTATGTTAATTGGCGTATGATTTTTAGGGAGACTTAGCAGTTATTACAAGCAAGTTATTATATTTCATGCATAAAAATATTTTGTGTTAATATATGTGTGTATTTTGTTTTGTTTTTAAGCATGTGGGGAAACACTATTGGAGATGAAGGAGCCTTTGCCTTTGCTGAAGCTTTGAGACACCATCCCAGTTTAACCAACCTTAGGTCAGGAATTTCTACTACTACTACTACTACTACTACTACTACTACTACTACTACTACTACTACTACTACTACTACTACTACTACTACTACTACTACTACTACTACTACTACTACTACTACTACTACTACTACTACTACTACTACTACTACTACTACTACTACTACTACTACTGCTGCTGCTGCTACTACTACTACTACTACTACTACTACTACTACTACTACTACTACTACTACTACTACTACTACTACTACTACTACTACTACTACTACTACTACTACTACTACTACTACTACTACTACTACTACTACTACTACTACTACTACTACTACTACTACTACTGCTACTACTACTACTACTACTACTACTACTGCTACTACTACTACTACTACTACTACTACTACTACTACTACTACTACTACTACTACTACTACTACTACTACTACTACTACTACTACTACTACTACTACTACTACTACTACTACTACTACTACTACTACTACTACTACTACTACTACTACTACTACTACTACTACTACTACTACTACTACTACTACTACTACTACTACTACTACTACTACTACTACTACTACTACTACTACTACTACTACTACTGCTACTACTACTACTACTACTACTACTACTACTACTACTACTACTACTACTACTACTACTACTACTACTACTACTACTACTACTACTACTACTACTACTACTACTACTACTACTACTACTACTACTACTACTACTACTACTACTACTACTACTACTACTACTACTACTACTACTACTACTACTACTACTACTACTAGCTACTACTACTATACTACTACTACTACTACTACTACTACTACTACTACTACTACTACTACTACTACTACTACTACTACTACTACTACTACTACTACTACTACTACTACTACTACTACTACTACTACTACTACTACTACTACTACTACTACGCTACTACTACTACTACTACTACTACTACTACTACTACTACTACTACTACTACTACTACTACTACTACTACTACTACTACTACTACTACTACTACTACTACTACTACTACTACTACTACTACTACTACTACTACTACTACTACTACTACTACTACTACTACTACTACTACTACTACTACTACTACTACTACTACTACTACTACTACTACTACTACTACTACTACTACTACTACTACTACTACTACTACTACTACTACTACTACTACTACTACTACTACTACTACTACTACTACTACTACTACTACTACTACTACTACTACTACTACTACTACTACTACTACTACTACTACTACTACTACTACTACTACTACTACTACTACTACTACTACTACTACTACTACTACTACTACTACTACTACTACTACTACTACTACTACTACTACTACTACTACTACTACTACTACTACTACTGCTACTGCTACTACTACTACTACTACTACTACTACTACTACTACTACTACTACTACTACTACTACTACTACTACTACTACTACTACTACTACTACTACTACTACTACTGCTGCTGCTGCTGCTGCTGCTGCTGCTGCTACTGCTACTACTACTACTACTGCTACTACTACTACTACTGCTGCTACTACTAGTGTTACCACTACCACTACTAATACTTCTCCTGTTACTACTACTACTACTACTATTACTACTACTTCTGCTATTGTTACACCTGATACTGTGACTAAGATGTGCATTTGAGTTAAATTTGGCTTCCTTTGTTATAGTCTGTCAGCCAATTGCATCTCTTCAGAGGGAGGAAAGAGTCTGGCCTCAGCTCTTAAAGACAACAGCACCCTCAGGATCTTCTGGTATGACTGAACGCCGAGTCGACTTTGATATTCAATTATTCAGTAGTAAAACTGTTTTAACTGTGAGCCGCTGTACATGTGCATGTGTTTGTTATCATAGGCTGGTGCAGAATGATTTATCAGATGACTGTGCCCCACACTTGGCTGAGCTGGTGCGTGCCAATACTGGACTCAAACACCTCTGGTAAATACATGTTGTGACTTAACTTTTACCACAATATTAGCAAAATTAATACTTACAATAGAAGAAACTGCGTGTACAGTGCCATAAATGTAGGATATGTAGTGACCGTATTTAAATCAAATAGTAATGTTAATTTATTCTTAATTGCATTCATTGTAGATGATGGCCAAGTTATTGATGTTTTCATTTGCCAAACGAGTCACTATGGGTTGACAGATTCTACAACCATTATATTCTCTATTGCTTCAGATATACTGAGATAAATGATAATATTGAAACTACTTTATGCCACAAACACAAAGCAAGATAATCCCAGTAAACCATTTTAAAATAAACAGCATCATTAAACTAGCAACTATCAGGCAGAAAATAAACTTGAATGGACGAGCATCAGCAACCAATCATTAGTCAGTGCTAGTGCAGCCTCTGCAGCTCAGTGAGGGAATTCTGGAGGTTCTGAGTTAGCTTAAAAAACATTATTGTTCCACAGTCATGTTAGTGTCATCTTAGTTTAGTTTACAGATTTTCACATTTGTGTTTATTTTAGCTGAACTACATCGCGGTTGTAAATTAATATAGTGTTATTGAAACATCCAGCGGTTGTTGATCAAATCTACACTTTCCACATGAAGAATGCTGTGTGGTCAGTAACTTGTGTTTGTCTTTAGGTTAATCAACAACAAGTTCACTGTGGAGGGGATCCAAAAACTGGCAGAAGCACTTCCTGAAAATGAACACCTTAAAGAAATCTGGTGAGAATGACTCTGCCCTCCTATAATCCTACTGAAACTGCATCAGGCCTCAACTTGTCTCATGTATTACACAGTTATTGAGTTATACATACATGTATATTATTGCCCAAGTCCAACTGAAAATAATTATTTTAAATGGACTTGCACTTAATCATATCCATTACTTTTCAGTTGTACTAATAGTTTATGTTTACTTTTGCTTTTGTTTATGAAATGTGCTGTATAAATAAAGTGAATTTGTTTTGTTGTTTGTGGTGACAGTGTGAAGGGAAACCTACTGACTCCAGCAGAAGAGGAACAGTTTGCTGAGGAGAAAAGACTGCGATTTCACTGAAAGGGAATTGTCCTTTGCAGTTACCATGACTACATAGCCCCAACTGGGAACTGCAAGCTTCACTTTGCACCCAACTGTTCACTTGTACATTTTCTGTAGAAACATGCCAACTATGAGGAAGTGAACTGAAAATTGATGACTTCCTCAATAATTATGTTAAAATGTGACTGTTACAAGTCTGGGGCAGTGGTTAGTATCCCCATATGTTACAATGGGTTGCATCATCCAAATATATTAATGTGAATCAGGCCTGTCACGATAAAACTGAAACTACTTTATGACACTGTTAGATTTAAAATTAAGCAAGATAATCCCATTTTAAATAGACAGTATCATAAAAAGACATAAGCTGCAACAAATATCTGAATGAATGAATGAATGAATATGATATAATTAGCCATAGAAGTAATTTTTTAAACCCTCTACAGCCCAAATATTCTCATAGTTCAACAAAAATAAAATAAATCTTCCCACTATTGCAAAGAAATTAAACACACAATAAATATTGAACCCCAAAATATATTGTTTTAGACTTCATATATTTATTTATTGAACGATATGTTGATATAGTAATTATTGTGACAGGCTTAATGTCAGATGTACTTAATGCTGTATGGGTCCACCTATAGCTGTCAACACTGTGGTATTCTTAGTGCAGTTTCAAAAGTGAGTTTTGAGTCCGGTTAGAGATGTTTTTTTAACTCTCAGTTCCTTTTTTTTTTTTTGCTTTTTTGCACATGTGCTATGTTTGTGTTAGGATTTTGAGTATAAAATAGATTGATGGAAATGGCTCCTTTGAGAAATACAATGTTTTTGAGATAACTGGCCCCCATATACATCACTCCTGAGATTTGAGAGAATCTGGTGCTGCCAGATTGGACTTCAGACTCCACTGAGATTTAATGTGTTTTCATATGTCATGCCAAGTGTATTTTGGGTCTAAAAATGTATTAGTTATTTATATCACAGTTTTTTGTATTCTTTACTGGGTTTACTCCTTTTTTTGGTATTTTACACTTACTCCATATTTTTGATGAAAAACTACTGTTATAAGGTAAACCACATATCATTAAGTGTGATTGATATGGGATACATTGTGTGTCTTATGTGGGTACATGGATGTAAACTATTTAGAGGCAAAAAGTTCCTTCAGGAAAAGTCATGCTATTAGAGAGTGATTCTGTTGTATTAATTGTCACTGTTACTCAGGCAAAGATGTTGTGCTTTGGAACAATGTCTGAAAGTATAATACATTTTTGTATTGCAAGTGTTTTGGTTGACTTCTTTAATCCTCACATTTCTGATTCAGTTCTGGAATTGATCCAGTGATAATTTTTTGTTGTTTAAAATGGCTAAATCGTGCTGTAGCCTACTAACCCTCAGTAAAACAGGAAGTTAGTCGCTCTGCAGAAGTTGCCAAATAGATCTGAGTTCATGTCAACACACTTGTATCATCTTAAGGATGTGGGAAAAGCTACGAAATCCCCGAGTGGACTTTCTCTTACAAACTTTTGAAAAACTATTTTGAGGATTTCCACATTTTAATTTTAAAACAGATTCCTGAAACACCATTCAAGTTTTGTTTTGCTTTTTTGATTCTGAATTTGGTTCTCACTTTCCCTCTCAAGTAGTAGTAGAAGTAGTAGTAGTATTAGGATTTCCCTTCAAATTCTAAGGTTATTTTAGCAATTTGTTTGAGTCTTTTCCAGTGGTAAAGTAAAATTGGCCTATTCAAACAGCATTTTGACTTTCAAACATAAGCTGAAGAAACAGGTACTTTCCTTTGATTTCATTTTTTTAAATGATATTATTGATATTTTCTGTTAAAATTTTGCACTCAATAATTTTTAATCTTGAAGTCCAAGAATGATTTTGCTGTCAAGGCAACTGTGTACGTGTCTGAATGAGTGTCTGCTTAACATTGAACATAACATCAAACTATTCTTTTATTTGACTAATGATGCTTTGTAAGCCTTTTCTCCCTGATCTGTTACCCCAAAATCTGACACAAAGAATCCAAACACCAAGGTCAGTGTCATAGTTCTTTTAAGGCCAGAGTCATAATCCCTGTCAGATCACACAGATATCAATCAGCATCTTGTATCTTGAAATGAAAAGTAGATTTGAATTAAATATAAGGAGATAATACAGTTTGAAATATGTGAAATTGATTCTTGGTGAAATGAGACGTTCTCATACCTCCCTCATGTGGTGAAAATGGGTATTACATGGCTTCATTTCCTCATAGAACAATGTAACTTTTACCCAGCCCTAAAGCTCCAATTAGTTGCTGCTACTTAAGTTTGTTGTTTTAACTACATTGAACTCAAATTCTTTATTCATCTTTGCAGAGACAAAAAAAAACTTGAGGCCAGTAAAAAGAGATGGTACATTAAGCAGTACATTGTAGACATGTCAGAGAATATTTTATGTGTTACCATAGCATTTGCTTGAGAAGCTCCAGACTTAAAGATGCACTTTGTGCTTCATCGGGTGGAGCGTCTGTCTCACAGAGATGGAAATTGCTTATATATATATATATATATATATATATATATATATATATATATATATATATAGGTGGTGGTTGCATTTATTCAACTACAGGTGTTTTTTGGTGTTTTTAACACAAAAAATACCTTAAAATACCTTTAAATAATTCTATTGTGTTGGGTTGCCTCTTCACTGATCTGACCTGTAACTTGGCGTAATGAAAAATGAATACTGAAGATTCTGGCAAAACAGTAAGAGAGAAGCAGATGATGAACCATTCATCAGAAAAGTGACACAGTACACCTTTACCTAAGCTTTATGATCTCAAACATAATTGTAGTTTACAGCAGTTTGAATGTTTATGAATTACCAGAAAATTTTGAAATATTAAATTATTATTTTATTGTACTGTAATCCTAGAAACCAAGCAGAACCCTTTTTGTTTATTTTGAAAGCTGCCACAACCAAGACTTTCTCATTTTCTAATTACTGTTAAAAGCCACTGATTGTTTAGCATGGTCAATCATTTTTTATCGTCTCTTGAAGAATTCTTAATACCTTGAAACCTAATTAATTGAGATACTTCAACATCTGTAATCATAATATCCAATTAATATGATTTGATTTTAAATTCAACACAAAAACATTGGATTCAAGTTTCATATATTTTCCACAAATTTGAAGAACAGTTTTATTGCTAAACAAGACAAACATGTAAAAAACCTAATGATAATTAAACAAACAAATAAAAAAAAAAAACATCTGATACCTGTGGTCCCTAAAGCTGCAGGGGAATATTCATTTTATTTCATTTGTACAATTTAAGATTAAAAAAACAAAAAAACAAAAAAAACTTTGCATCTCATGGTGTGTTCAGACCAAAACAAGAAAGCCAGTATCCCTGTTTGAGCACAGTGTGGAAAATATTTTTAAAACACAATTGTTTTACTGAATATTTTTAGAACTGCAGTGTGTGAATATTAAAATGTTGTGCTTCCCTACAGATGACACGTTGAGTCTTGTGCATTTGGTTTGTGGTGCCATTTTATTTACATTTACATCGTGGCAGACAATATTGTGTTGTGTGGTTCATTTGAATAGAAATCTTTTTGAGTTAATGTTTTTTTTTTTTAGGAAACAGAGAAAGGAAACAAACTTAAAATCATTGCAATGCTATGGCTAGTTATGGCTTTAAGTTTGGGCTTCCTCACAAAATCATTCAGTTAAAGAAGACATATTAGGCGTTTGTCTGTTATGAAGTAATCAAATGTGTCAAATGTCAAATGTTTTCCTCCAGTGAGATGTTATTGCTTTGTCTGGAATGTTTCACAGTATGGCATTAAACCTTTCTATCATCATGGAGACCAAACCAGACCAAATTACAGTAAGTCGGCTCTGTGGAGAGGCAACTCCACTCACAGTCTGAATGCATGTTCTTCTCAGTAGTTTTGAGCTATAAAACCACTTATAATTGAGTAAACGTAAAGTAGAGCTGTTTAATGTCATACTGTGGAACATTCCAGGTAGAGGAATGGCATACCCATAGAAACAAGCACATGATGGACTCCCAATCCAAAAAGTTTCATGGTGCACCTTTAAATATGGATTAATCAGTCTAAATACAAATTTGATTTGATGGTTTGAAAACAATTATAGAATGTAGAAAATACTCTTTATACTACTGTTATAGAGCATGGCAAAGGTCCACTGCAACAACTGTAAGCCTGAAGTGGATACAGTCTGAAAATTTGTGTAATTGCAAAGAAAAAAAAAAACAAAAACAAAAAAAACCCAAACAGAAGTAATAGTCTTAATTTTGCTAAATAAGAGGCATTATTGATACCGTCTGTGATGTTGTTGCATATTATTTGACTCCTTTTGGCCTGAACACACCATATTTATGATGGCTGTCAGGTGAGTTTGGGTATTTTGTCCCTCTTGGGCTCAGGTAGAACGTCTCTCTTGATTGGCTACAGGCTTCTCTCTCTGATAATGTCCACAATTCAGTTCATGATTACAAAGCACTGATGATTGAGAATATTCACAGTCGATTGGCACCATTTTTGCAACAGTTTTTGAAGAAATGTTTAGTCTCCTTATTTGAGTCCTTTTTTTTGTAGTTTTTCACCTCTCAAATGCGACAATCTTTTCATTTTGAGTCCATTCCTGACCACATCCAAGCGTCCCAATTTCAACAAAGGCACTGGTAGATGCTAAAAGTTGAGGGACATTCCGCATCACACCCATCCTGCCGCGTGACTGGTCCAGCCTGCATCATGTGACCACACTGGCGGATGTGCGCAACCCAAAGACAGACGTTGAACTTTGTTTCCCTGAAGATTGCTTTAAAACATGAGATTTGGCACACTGTGGTACTACATTTTTGTTGGTGGGAGGGGGGGAAAGGGTGCGGGGTTTACGGACAGTCACAGTGGTCCAGCAAAGTCTCCTGGAACATTGGAGGGCAGGGCATGCTTATGGTGTGGTGCCTGAAAGAAGAAGAAATATCAGAAAATAAGCAGTATTTAAATTGCCCACATCACACTATTTGTTATGATCTGTTATAATGTTATTTCCACACAAAAAAAACATACCTGGCGTTGTGTTTTGTTTCATTCATACATACATACAACACTCAAGCCCTTCTTATTTAGACTAAGTTCTCTCCAACAGAAAACACTCTGTACCACCTTGTGATGTCATACAAGAAGTGTTTTAAAACTCCATACACCTTCACTAGAATCATGCAGATAATTTCAGCCCTGGAATTGCCAACCTATAGTAAACAAATGGTAAAAGGTAGCTTTTAACTTGAAAGCAACTGCTTCACAACATCACAAGGTGGAACTGAGCATTTTGGGCTTTGGAGATTGTGAAAGAATTTCTGTGTTATTTTAAATATTATGAATCATTTAAAATCATAATCATTTGTGTGTGTGATTAAAGTTATCAACAATTGCGTTTTGGGGTTTTTCCATATGTATATCATATGTCCTAGTACAAGAACTCCTGACTCATTAAGCTAATCTACTGAGTCGCCCATGAGAAGACAGCTAAGGGTTTTTCCCCTCATGTGGTTAGCATAAGTTTTTGGGAGAAAACTGGCCAAATTGTTTATCACCTGGAGCCTGTAATCAAGTGTGAAATGGGAGGGCGGTTTAGACTAAAAGATTGTTAGTATGTGATCATGTAAACACTGTGTGATATGATGTCATGTATTGTACCTTATCTGTGTCATGATTTTGAATAAATGGGTGTTCGGAGAGTTGTGGGGCAGAGTAGGCCAGAGCGTAGCCAGGGGCAGGCAGTCCCCAACTCTCCTTGTGCAAGTATTACTTTTAACCGTCTCGTTTTGGTGTGTCTTATTTAATGTAATTTGATGTCTTAGGGTAAATTCCCTGACAGAGATGCAGACAAACTAATAATAAAGGATGACTGAAAAGCGTGTGAATGAAACAAAGCACAACCCCAGGTATGTTTTTGATGAGGTAACAGCATTATAACATGGCTTAAAGCTCACATATATCTCACAAAAAATAATATTGATTTTGTAAGATACTACCTGTGCAAAGAAAGCTTTAATCAGATGGATGCTCTGGACATGATCTGTTCACTTCAAACCATTCGTCAATACATCTGCAACACAAACAAGACAAGACAAATATATGAATTATAGAAAAAAAAATCATAAATTAAACTTAAAACTAATATGGAAAAAGAATATGGTCAATAATGAGCTGAATATATTAATTTATGTCTTGTCACACCAGTGAAATAGACTTTGAACACCCCTAGTGGCTATCAAGGTTTATGCACTTCACAGGAAAGGAATACATTTATAGGAGTAATAATTATTATTTTTTTAATTCAATTATTTCATTTGTTGTTATTTTATATTAATTCCCAGACACTTACCATTACAGAATTGTATCATATTGTACGTGTCATAATTTTGAATCCCCACTTAAAAGATAACAAGGTATATGGCTTTTACACATACAGTTAAATAAATGTTCATTCTTCATTCTGGAGATGGCACGTCATCTGCATGACCCCATGGAATTGTGGAATATTATAGCTAAAGAAACAACATTTCCATGGAAAGAAGTAGGAGGCCAGATAAGAGCAAGGTTTGTAGAGATGCAAGCCCGCTCAGAGTAAGGAAATTTTTTTCAGTGCAATAAACACAACCAAAATGAATTGTTTGTAGTCTATTTTTGTCTAAAATGTTGCATATTGTGGCTTTAAACACACATCTAGATAAAAAACATTGCCTTATCAATAAAAATACCTAAACTTTTAACTATGTTTTCTGACAACTTCAGTGTAATTTCTGGAGCACATCCGATAGCAGCTCTGTGTTTCCGTGCACTATTCTGGTGGTGCATACTGATCTGCAGCAGAATCAGTGCATGATCCATCAGCCACGGGCTTGTGTCTAACATTACCTTACACTAGACAAATTGCATGGGACACTATATTTGGGACTTCCCTCGGGGACTATACCTCTCCAAAGCAGCGTTGGGTTACACACAGAATACTGAGTACACTCCACTACTCACTCACGAGGCTCACTGGAAGACTACTTTAGATTTTCTGAATGGATTGCAGAGTGAAAGAGATCCGGTATGCAGAGATGGAAGTAGCACTGCAAATTTGTACTTTAGTAGTTTTAATCAACATATGTGGAAGTAATAAAGTCATTTTCATATTCCAGGTAAACAATAAAAACACCAGTCTGCATTTATTTAGCTCCAACTGTTATTGATGTTAACAACATCTTACTAATACTCAACTGCTTCTACACTTGCTGCTACTGCAAAGTACTATCATTACTACAACTGTATGTGTATTATTACCACCACCACTACGGTGACTGTTGTTCATAACTGTCTGTTATATGCATTTTTTTTTTTAACTTAACCTATGCATGTTTTCTTAAACAAGTACTTAATACTTATAGCATGCAGTTACTCAGTTGCATACTTTTTGCAGTATATTTTGCAGTCTTATCTTCAGACTTAACCAGTTGGCAAATACAGGAATTAGGGCTGCACTACTTTGCACAATGTAAACAACTCCAAGAGCATTAATATTTAAAAGAAGACCAAAATATGTCTAAACTACAGGTACACAATTTTGGCGAAACTTTTCTAAAACGTCTGTTGTGTTTTTTGAGGACATTCAATGATCTAAATAATTTCAGCCTTTTCGTTTTGATTATGCCAACTGAAATTGTAATTTCTATCTAAATGCAATATACAGTATTGTGTAACCCTAATAGGAACTTGAACTAATGTATAATGTATACTCAATGATTCGGAGATTACTTTGAAAATATATTTAGTTACAGAATACTAAATACCAAAATTAAAATGTACATTGTTATGTATTCTAATACAATACATACAGAATAATTTGATTGGACAATCAAATTATTCTGAATACTAAAATAATTTTACTTTGAGTAGCATTTAAATTATAGTGTAAAAAAAAAAAAACGTGATATGTAATAGGAAACGACTTCTTTATTTGTTGTTTTGCATTAACTTGTGTCTATTTAGAATTTAAAATTGCATGATCAATTATCGCCATGTATTCCTTTTAATTTAGAAAAGTAAATGTATTCTGAATACTACCAAATTTGATACGAGTTAGAGAGTGACATCTTGGGTTTATATTATATTGTATTTACAGTGTGTTATTTCTTTATTTTTTTATATTTATACTATTGTTGTATTATTGTAAATGTTCAGCACTTTGGTAAGCTTTGGCTGTTTTAAACGTGTTTTATAAATAAACTTGATTTGATTTGAAAGGAAAGAGTAATTGTACTTGAATACAGATACTCAAAATTAGCATTAAGAAAAAGAATTTTGGGTACATATATTCAGTTTTCTTATCTTCCCTTCTGATCTAGTTCACTTTAACTCCAGACTGTGGAATAAAGCCTAAGCCTGCAGTGTTTTAAATGCAGTATAGAGGAGCACTGCAGCAGAACTGTATGCCTGAGATAAGCGGCTGCCTGCCCACCCCTGTCCAGACACGGCTCGTACCCTTTGTGGTAGATGCAGAGGCAGGGCAGGCGTGCAATAGTGTCCCCCTGCGTCAGCTCCTCCAGGCAGATGGCACACTCCCCTGCATCCTTGGTCAGGACGTCCTCTGGATCAAGAACAGCACAAGACAAAACATGAATGAATGAAACAGTTAAGATGACTGCAGGTTTACAATGGTCCTGTGGTTCTATCACTGCAATCTTTCACAGTATGACAATAAGCCTTTCTATCTTCATGGAGACCAAACCAAACCAAGTTACAGGTCAGATTTTTGGAGAGCAATCCCGCTCACAGTCAGAATACATGTTTAGTAAGGTATTTTTGAGCTATAGAAACACATGTAATTGAAAAAAAGGTAAGGTAGAGCTGTTTAATGGCATATTGTAAAACATGCCAGGCAGAGCAAAGACATATTCATAGAAACAAGCAGGTGACAGACCCCCAACCAAAAAGTTACACAGTGCACATTTAAAGAGTAAAAAGTAAAAGTATTTCACACAAATTTTCTAATAAAATCTAATAAGGCTTCAAATGTAGTGATTTTGATATATTATTGTGCTGAATTTTATTCAACAGAAACAAATGAATTGTTTTTTTTCCCCCTAGATCTTTTTATTTGTGTATATTTGTTTGTTCAAATGTGTGTGAAAAAAAGACTAAAATTTAAATATATATAATATATATATTAAAAAAATATATATAAAATAATATATATTTAAAAATACTTTACTTTTCAGTCCAGTTAGAAAATGTAGAGGAGTAAACGTACAGATACCTGCTCTCAAATGTAGTGAAATAAAAGTAAAAAGTATCCCCTTTAAAATCTACTTAAGTAAAAATGTAATTATGTGTAATTTACTTAGGTACAGTACGTTACTACTTTTCCATCATTACGTTCCATGGTGGTGTTTCCATAGTCTCCCTGTGTTTTTGGTTGTTTCCTTGGCAGACTATGGTTTCCCCCATTAACCTTAAACATGCACAACAGGCTAATCCTTCAGCTCAGTGCCCCTGTGTCCTGACTGTGAACCTGACTCATATCTGCAGAGGGCCAAAGTATGTCATCTAAGGTAGCCCAAAAGGGACATTTAAAGGTTGTAAGGAGGATGACCAGGAAAAAAAATAAATAAATAAATAAATAAAGAGGATACCTCGTTGTCTATTGGCTGTTATGTTGTCAATCAAACTCCCTACGTTTCTAGTGTAACTGACTTACTTGCTGGGATTACATGGTTTACATACGGCTCTCACGTATTCCTCATACACAAGACAAGGTTTACTCAAGCAACGCAGCGGTTCTTAGAGGCTTTTTCAAACTGTAGCTTCATTGCAGTTAGTACAAAGTTTGTTGACAAAAGAAAGTTTTTGAGGTCGCTGAAAGAAGAAGAGAAGGGAAAAGGAGCGAAGCCAAACTAAGGTGATTCTTGGAGATTCCTTCCAGCGACGGCGTGCACTGAAGCAGACGAAAGGTCTAAAGACTGACACATTGGTTGCTAAATTACTTCTGGACAGGTCACTTCAACAGCAATTCGTTCTGCAATTCTGAACGTGCACCGGCTGTAAACAAGCATGATTTCTAGCGTAAGGAGGAGGCAGGAGGAGGCGTTTCTACTTAGGGAGCTGTGGAAGAGAGAGCGCAACATTTGAAAAAGGACAAGCAGTTGCTGTATTTCACTTTCCTTGGAAAATAATCTATACAACCTTTAATAAGCTACTCACGTAAACAGGGACTTCAGAAATTCAAACCAGTTTAGTTCCAAAAAAACAAAAAGTTACAATAGAATATATACATTGTCAAGTCTTGGTATGGTAACAGCTAAACCTAGTATAAAAATAGTAATTCTATGTTAAGATAACCTAAACTTGTCCAACAATGGAGAAATTCCAGTGTTGCAACCATAAACTGAATATATAAATGGATGTTGCTAACGCATTAGCTGCTGCGTTCCTAATAGCACGTTTGCATGCGGGATCTTCCAGCTCCTACTGACCCTGGCTCCCATTGCCTTATATTGGAATATTGTTGTTCCTCTCTCTCTGTAACTGCTGCAGTGAGCCTCGTCATTTTGAAATTTTGTATTATTATATTATTATATTAATCCACCCTTCATCGGGGTGATTTTTTCCCACTATTTTGTCCATTAAAAACATCCTATTCATAATAGACCCTGGTTCCAAAGTTGCTCATGTAAACACTGGCATCGTGACCTTCATTTGAGTAAAGGGTTTGTCGTTCATTTCTGGTAACACTACGACTACATGACATCACAGGGTGAACAGAGTATTTTGAGCTTTGGAGATGTAAACAGACGAATAATAAAGGGTTACTCAAACATATGTGAATCAAACAAAACACAACCCTCAGTATGTTTTTAATGAGAGTAACAGCATTATAACATGACATAACATAGGACATAATAATAATAGAGTGTTACACATGATTCATGCAGGTGGAATGTACTGAGACATCTAGACTAGATGTGCATAGACACAATGGTGAGTGTGATAAATTCAAGTAAAGTACGAACATATACTTTTAATACAAGTCAATATAAAAGGTGTACACAAATCTCCACCAGACTTTGAATTCCCCTGTGATGGCTTTAGCTGATGCTGAGGGTTCCCCTGTGGAGCTGGAGGATGCACAGTCCATTTCCACTGATTGTTATGGTGGGGACACTTTCCTCCTGTGTGCATATACGCTCTGCAGTTGTTACCAGCCCCAGTCCAGATTTACAACAGTCATAAAGTGAGCCGTGAGAGATGGATATGCTCGCTTGACCCGATCTGAGTCGCACCATTTATGTTCATTTATTTATTGCAGCGTGACTGTCTCTGAGCCTCATATCGCTTCAGTGCGCTCTGCTAATGTGACCCTTTATTGCTTCAATAGTCCTTTTAGTAGTGCGTGTATTCTCTAAAGATGTTCTTAGTATAATAGCTAAGGTTATATTTCTCAAAATTGAGTGTGAAAGACTATAAAAACAATCTTCTATCAGTCAAAATTGAGATTTTAGAGTCTGACAAGTATCTACAAGCTTAATTTCAATCTAATTTATTTGTAATTGTATTGCAAATGGACTCTTGTGAGCTTTTAATCATGTTATAATGGTGTTACCTCCTCAAAAACATGCCTGGAGTTTTGTTGTTGTTGTTTCAGCTCCTTTTACCTTTAGTTCAGAAGAGATTGGAAAGTCCAGGGCTGAAATTATACAAATGATTCTAGTGACAGTGTATTGATGTCAAAAACACAGTGGAGCAGTTCCCCTATTACCACATGACATCACAACCTGTAAAATGTTTTCTGTTTGAAAAGAACACAGCCTAAATATACAGGGTTAAACATGAAACAAAACACAAATCCAGATACTTTATGCTTTTGATGAGGAAACAACATTATAACATTGATCAGAACAAAGCATATAAGATCTTTAAAATCAATGATCCGCTTCAGCAATCAAGTACAAATCTATTTTATTCACTGTGCAGTGCAGTTATTTTCCAAAACCTAAAAATCACCATGGATAAACCATGGAGAGCTGCTGACCCATTTTGTAATCCTAAAATGCAAACGCTAATACACATATATAGAGAGCATATATATTCCCTCTGTAGGTGTATTCTTACATTTTCAGTGGGAATCACAACACACTCTGTCTGATACTTCCCTATTGCACCCGAAGAATCCATTCAAACTCCTTTAATTATGTCTGCTAACGTATAGCACCAAATTATACTCCAGTTCCCTTCTATCTCATCTCCCTGTAGCACAGATGTAACCTGGTGCCAGTGTGATTCAGACTCTCTAAATGTGTATTTCCCATGTGCTTAAGCAGAGCACTTCAGACCATTCACTAGAGTGTTACCAATCCTGCCTCTCTCTTCTGGACCACCTCTCCATCCTCTGTCTAAATGCTTTTGGACATACGGCTTCATCAACATCGTAAACATACTAATACAGAGGCTTACAGAGGGGACAATTTGGGGAAAAAAATGTAATCACTATTTTACTGTGCAGACTGCACATCGTAAACAACTCCGGTCCAGAAGCATCACCATTGGGAGAAGACTCAAATCGAAACTGATGAACTAATACAAGTATCCCATTCATTTCAGAACATCTATGGAAAACTGTTGTGCGGGGGCATGGCTGACGTGGGCTTGTGGGCTGAACATTGGGTAGAATCATACAGCTAAAGGCTTGAATAGAGCCAGGGAGCGATTGCAAGATTACTCAAACATGCATAGATGAGATAAAACTGACATAATAAAAAAGTTATAACATGACAGAAAGCTCCAGCTATTTGTGAAAAAGAAAAGAAGTTGAGCAATATTGCCTTCACATGTTGATGAGAACGAGGTGGAAACAGGACGAGGACCACATGAAAACAACTGCTCTGGGAAGAAAATCAGGAATGAATTGGTACTTTAAATTATTGACATTCTGAAGATTCATGTTGACAAGGTATTGGTCACTACTAATTCCCACACTACATTCTCTAGGAGTCTGGTTTAAAGTGGAAGTCTATGCAGCACGGACCATTACCTGCAGCCAAACAGCACAGTCATTAGGGCAGGCTCAGGCTGGGGCTTATGTAACGCTGGATTAGCCCACATAGGCCTGGAAAAGCCAGTTATTATGGACCACTGCAGCACATAGCAGAAGCTCAGCTGAAGAGAGAAAACATGTCTAACACAGTGACAGAGGTCAGTCAGATGCAAAGGGACATCCAAAGCCCACGGGATTTCACAAAGGCTCATGGAAAACTACTCATGAGGAATGTTCACTTGACGTTTTTTTTGTTTTTTGTTTTTTAAATAACTGTGCCATTACATTCACTTACATTAGGAAACTGTTGGCCCATGTTTCAAAATTAATCTTCCTAAATTAGTCTGGTTGAAAAACAGTTATTATCAACCAGGAAGTGTCACGATTTTCAACCAGAAAGTCAAATTTTAAACCTAAAAAATGGCCAAATTGGTAAAACAAGTGTGTTTTTAACAAAAATAAATACATAAACAAATACAATTGTAGTATCTTATTTATATCCATAGATAAATAAACTTCATTCAAGTAAAATCATTTCAAGTAATGTACGTAATATT